GCTTGATACACCCTGGAACTCCTGGGACTCCTCCCTTCTGCACCGAGGTGTCGATATAGGTGTTCTTCAAGAGAAATCCCATGAGGCAAATGGAAATGATCTTGAAGAAGATCTTGCACTCAACACTAAGGAGAGAGATTGTCCTGAAGTGCTTGATGTTTTTTGCATTCTCCTCCTTGGGAATCCATACTCCTTCTGCATACTTTCACTGCTGAGGTACCTTCCCTCTTTTCCAGATCACCTTGAAGATCTTCCAAAGATGCTCCAACAAGCGGGGACACTGTTTGAAGACCTTATAAGGAACTCCACTTGGGCCTGGTGCTGATGCTGTTCGGGCAGATTTTATGACCTCCTTAACTTCCTTCAGGGTTGGTAACTGGTGTTGAACAGGGTGCAGGGTTCTGGTGGGCATATGAGGGCTGCACGAGGTCTTGCTCTCTCATGCTGTCACTGTAGGTGTTACTGAGGTGGCGTTAATGTCCTCCTCAGGACATGAGAGCTGACCACTGCGCTTCTCTCCCAGCAGCTTCCTTTTAAATCCAAATGGGTTTGCAATGAAGGCACAACGCTTGCGGGCCCTTCCCTTTCCGCTCTTCCTGTGCCACTCAGCACGTCTAAGGGTGAGCAGCCTTTTCCTTAGCACCTCCCTCAGTTCTGCCAAGGCTGCCTTCTCCTCATTGCCTGCCTTCCTGTACTGGCTCCTGAGTACTCTCAGCTCTTGTCTGAGTTGGGAAATCTTGATCTGTCGCCGGTTTGGAATTGGTGCTGCAGTTGTCGTCCTGGTGGCACATTGTTCCTTAGTGCCAAACCTGTCTGATGCAATGCTTATAATGAACGTGCTCAATGTCTTAAGCCTCTGGTCCACATCACCCTTGGCTGTTGCTTCCAAGGCTTTATCAACATCTTCATCAAACTGTTTCCACTCTGACTCCTTGTTGGCAGCGGGCCACAATATCTTACGGTGCTCTGACGGTCTGCTTTGGGGTGTCGCCTGTGATGCTTGGAGGTTCTGGGCACTGTGGGGTGTATCCTCCTCCGTCTCACCAGGTGCTGCACAGGGTACTGGCACTGTGCATTGCGCCACAGGTTTCCTTAGGCAGCCCATCTTGGTCTGATGTACCTTTAGACCAGATTTTTGCAGACCTTGCTGAAGTTATTATGTTTGAATTACAACCCTCTTCCAGTAGGAATAGTGTAGAAATGTTTAGTCGATCTCTTAATTATTTCTTTAGCTTTGTTAACCATTAGGTAGTTATACTGTTAGTTAATAATCTGAATGTTGGTTTGTAGAATCCATTATTAACTGTACATTTACAGTACATGTGTTTACCCTAGTGTTGTTCACAATTCATGTGTTACTATCTGTTTCATTTCAGAGTAATTTAACATGATCAATGTTCTTTGGAAAGTGATACTCAAAGCATAATGAGAATGTTTGTTAATATGATTCTAGAATTCTTTATATGTGTTTAGCATCAAATCCTTTATTTTGAACCAAGCTTTCAATAACATTAACCATAGTGAGTGAATATTTGATCTGACCCCTTTACTAGCCAAAGTATAAGTTGGATCAAAAAATCAGGGCTCCTGAAAGTCTCCTCTCAGGAAGCTGCAGCTGGAGATCAGGAACCCCTCCTTTCTCTCCTCACATCTTGGAGACACTCCCAGTCTGAAGAGTATAAACCAGTAAAGCTGGTGTGCTCTCTCTCTCTCTTGCCTTTTGCTCTTCACAATCTTTTTTCCCCTTTTTTCCCTCTTATCTTGTTTTCTCTTTGTCTTACTTTTTCCGTAGTCTCTTAAGTTTTCCGCCACATAATCGTTCATGTTGTTTATTTTTTCTTTAACATCGTCTTAGTTCAAGTTGTGAAACTTTAACTTTTTGTGCACATAGCAATTGAAGATTAAGCCTTTAATTGATTTTTCTTTCATTTCACAAAGCCATTTTTGAAATAGTTTCAACTGGTCATCGAGCCTCTTTTCTTTGGTTATCTGCGTGATTGCCAAGTCACCTCTGAAGGCCAGCCAGCAGGCCCAAAGTCATCCTCTGAGCCAGAGTGTTGCAGTGAGACCAAAAGAGCATCAAAAAGGGTGGAAAAAGTACTGGTTTTTGCATTCAGGCCTGTGTACTGTGACCGCTGGCCTGTCCTTCGTCTGACTTCGGTCCTCTTCAGAGCTGAACCTCTCGAACTGGTAGCCTGGACCTTCAGAACCTGCTCCATCCTCTCCAAGGACCAGCCTCACTTAAGTATCCAAACCTCCAGAGCTCCAAACAGGGCTGATGGTGTCTCATGCATTCAATTCAGATAACCACATCCAAATTTATCTTTACACCAAAGTTAAAGTAGGTTAATATGTTAGAGCATGTCCACTCACTATCATTAACTTTAGTAGTCTTAGCCTGACTCAGAATCTTCCATTCATCTGCTATAATCTATATTCATCTTATCCTCATTTATTGCATGGATGTTGTACCATCATTTATCCTGCAATAAACCAATCATTTATTTTTCTAAGTTCTTGTCTGTTAGTGTTCTTCCAGAAGTGGAGTCCCTGAAATGAGAATTATGGCTTTAGATATGAGATAGATTAATTTAAGATTAACTTAATGTTTGATTTCTGAATTAAACATTTGTTTTTCTTTATTTTCCCACCATTAAAGGTGGGTGGTTCCCCTTTCAACGAGTGCATAAATGTCATAAATTGAGATTATTATCAAATATTAATCTTAAGATATTCATTATAAAATCAAATCGCTACAAAACTTTGCATCTGGTGTATGATGCACCTGCTTTCACTATGATTATGCAGTAAATAAAGTTGGTGTTTAACAAGGCTGCAGGCCAAACTGCTGATGGTTTTCAGAGTGGAGGGATTGTATCCATTTGTAAGCAGATCACACTATATCAACTTTAAATTCTCCCATCCTTGCGTCATAAAACTCCTGATAAGAACTAATGTCTATATCTGCGGCAGACTTTCTGCTCGACTCCTTTATGAACTCAGGCATGGTTTCTATTCCTATCCTCAAGAGACATGCTGCTGTTCTTTCTTTATCATCATCTCCACAAGGAGGCCCATGCTGGTGAGATGTTATCAGGCAAGTAGAATAGCTAAACTTCCTTGAGTGACCATAGCACAGACAGATCAGGTACAATTTAGAACCAGGGAGATCTTTCCACACCTAAACCTGAGCAGGGATACAGAGCAACTTGTCATCCAGATTTCCGATCATGTTTTGATATGGATTCTACCTCCTCTCCGCAAATCTTATTCTTCTCTTAAGTTATTAAACAACAGAAAATTCAACAGGCTGAACTTATGCAACAGAAGATGTCATGAGCCCTGAGCCAGAGGTGATTGAAAATTCACACAGAAGTCTTTATGAAGTTGAAAAAAAGGATATTATACACACACACACATGCATTCACGCATGCACATGCACATATACACACAAACACACACAAAGCATAAAAATTCTGTGCCACACACCTGAGCACCACGATTTATTTACGTTGTCTCTGCTCACGTCTCATTAGTGTTATTCAACGTGTCAGTCAGCGACAGGCCCATGTGCTGTAAAGCAAAACTGAAGCAGATCAGCAGCAGTGTTACTAGTCTGATCCTGCAGAGTTTCACTCTGTGCATAGCCTCTTAAAAGGAAAAATACACACAAAAAAGCTTTTATCTACAACCTTCAGTTAAAACTTGCTCCAGTGTCAATGTTCATGTGTTTTTGTTGGCCAGATGAGCACATTTGCCATTACATAAATGTAAACTAATTACAGAATTATGTCTATGTTACAGGAAAAATGGACTCAGAGCAAATATGCATGCGATGGATGGATGTTTTCTGTGTTGAAGTTCACATCTACACATCTGCAGATTTCCCTGTACGTGTTGTCTGCTGACTGCTGAACATGTGTGTGTGTGTGTGTGTGTGTGTGTGTGTGTGTGTGTGTGTGTGTGTGTGTGTGTGTGAGAGAGAGTGGGGAGAGAGAGAGAGAGAGAGAGAGAGAGAGAATTAGTGGGTTATATCCTTTATTGGCCCATATATTAATGTATTATAATTCATACTTTGGTTACTTTGGTCAGTAATATTTTCTTTTAACACAACATTAAGATTGTTTGCTCATTATCATTCACAGTGTTGTTATAAAGTTTGATAAATGTGTTTATGGTGCATTATTTGAGGTAAATAAAGTCTGTATGATTAACTTTTGCCTTACGGCGATCTTTTCACATCTGACATTTTCATTGGACCCATGTTTTGTAAACTTGCTTAACAGATTTATTATTGTTTCTATAAATCTAACAAACTGTTGTGCAAACTTGTCACAGTTTGTGCTCCTGTTTTAACACCTGTCTTCACAACAATGGCAGCAACACATGACACTAGAAATAGCACAGTGTCCTTGACATGTAGCCTTGTGCAGCTAAAATGTATGCGCTAATTCATCTGACCTTTTCAGGGCTGCAGAAGGACAGAAACAGAGCAACTGAAGTGGTTGGGGTGCCAAACTGATCTGGCACAAGTTCAGAGAGGCTCAGTCTCTGCTGCAAAGCAGACCAACGGAAAGCAGTGTAGCCCACCTAAGGTCAAGGCTTTCAGGCAACTGGAGTAAGGAGAGCACTGGAGCTGAGACCTGCCGTGAAGCACCAACAAATCCCAAAGAAAAAAGCACAATAAAATACGTATCATATTATATGGAGCTTCATTCAGCTAAAGGATTTTAAATCTGTATTTTCATGCACAGGATTACTAAAAGATGTTGAAGATAACTATCTCGTGTTATCCAGTTCAGTTCTCCTGCAGTACCAGGGTCTATTATTAGTCTCAGGTCTGGATTTCCTTGGGCTTTGACTTGTTAAATGGGCAGCAGAGCTCCTGGTCAGTGAACTCTTGTCTTTGATGGAGTCTGTGGTCACAGAGTGATGAACTGAAAAGAAAAGAGAAGCAGCAGTTACTCTGGCACACACACCACAATAAACAGATGAGTATTAGCCATAGACTGTATATAGAATGGACAGAGTCTGCCTCCTTGCTGGGTGAAGCCACTCCGAGAACAGCACCCTCTGTTGATGGGCTGCAGTATAGGTCATAAATCCCGCCTCTGCCAGCAAAGCTTATGGGGCTGTGGACAAACTTTAGAAATTTATTACACAGAACATAATTTTTTCTCCCCCCTGCTTGTGGTGTTGACATGTAGTTACAGTAAAACTGGCTGGTGCTCAAGTCCTCTTTTTTCCGTGAAGCTCCGTTTTCAAAAGTTATTAGGGGGTTCGTGTTTGCTATGATTGACACCTGATACAGCCTATGGGCATTCAGGGATACGTTGTTTGAGCTGAGCGTCATCACAGCGACTCACGGCGACTGCGCGGCCGAATGCGCACGTCGCTACTGCGCAGCAGGAAATGAAGAAAAATCCCGGAAATACCAAGAGCTATTTGGCTTCAAATTCGTATACAAGCAGGAGGCGGAACCAAGTTGTCCATAGTATATACAGTCTATGTTTGTGGCGCAGTGACCCGCTCACTATGGTATTAGCAGACAGCAGGGCCACACACAAGTGATGGCGTTTAATAATCTCAGTCCTTTTCAGTGGACTGAGAGGCATCAGGAATACTACAGTGATTATTTACCCATCTTTAAACCATAAAGGAAGGAAAATAAGGGAGGAAATCAACATGACAAGGTCGAAACCCATATCTCTGACAACCATGAAATGACATTTGAGAAAAGTCTGGTCTGAAGGGTTGTGTATCTGCAAAAAAACACTACTTCATCCACAAAACAAGAATAGATATGAGTGGGAAAAGCTCACAAAAATTGGACTTATGATGACTAGAAACAAGTTTGCACTGTTTGGTTCAAAACACAGAGTCTATATCCGCAGACAAACTGGTGAACGTCTGAAAGCACCATGTGTTACACCCACAATTCAGCATGGAGGTGGTAGTTCCATGGTATGGGGATGTTTTGCAGGTGTTGGAGTAGGAGATTTGTTTGAAGTAAAGGGTATCATGAAGAAGGAACAGTACCACTCCATCCTCCAGCACCATGCTGATCTATCTGGACTCAGACTTGTGGGTCAGTAGTTTGTTTTGCAGCAAGACAAGGACCCTAAGCACTCTGCCAAGCTCTGTCAGGGTTACCTAGACAAAAAAGAAGAGGAAGGTGTTCTTCAAAAGATGGTTTGGCCCCCTCAGTCTCCAGACCTCTCTCCAATTGAGCTTGTGCGGGATGAATTGGATCGATTGGTCAGAAAAATGCGTCCCACGAATCAGCAGTCTCTTTTTAATGAACTTAGAAAGCTTGGAATGCAATCCCTGGAACATACCTTAAAAAACTTGTGGAACAAATGCCTGGTATATGCCAAGCTGTTGTTAAAGCAAGAGGAGGTTACTTTAAAGAAAACAAAGTCTAAGCAACAATAACTCAAATACCTAATAATTATAGTCAAAATGTCCTCTGATAAGTTACTCTTTACACAATAGTCATGTTTATTGTGTTGCAAATTATATAAATGAAACTATGATCTTTTTTTGTACAAATCTGATCTTGCTTCCAAACTTTTGGCCTGTAGTGTAAATGCACTAAGCCTATGTAAAATACGATGTGTAAACAGTGATACAAGTTTTGGTGCTGACGCCAAGACAATACGGGGCCGTCCTCGTGTGAGGAGAGCTTCAAGATGCGCCACTTACGATGTCGTTATTTGCGGTTTTGTTGTGGCTGTTTGCAACTGTGCTTTTCCTGTGCTTCTACTGTAGGTTTACTTCTGTTAACTTTATTCGCGCTCATGTTGTGGCTATTTGCATTCACATTTTTTTTCTTTTGCAAAGCGTTTTCAATATGCAAATTCCCTGACACTTCCCAGCCACTGTAAATATGTAATTAATTAAATGACAACAGGTCATAGAGTTTTTATTTTAGGTACAGTCCTATCCCTCCTCTCTTTAAGTATGAATAAGGGAACTTTTTAAATGTTAATAAGATAGTTTCTGACAGCTTTTAAAATAACCTGTAACATTTAATATTGAGGTCCCTCTGAAAGGAATTAATTCATGATTAACATAGTAAATAATTACCAATAAGACCTTAAAAGATGCTTATAATCATTTACAAGAATCAATAACTGTATATAAAATCACAATTAACTCATTCTATAATTGTCTAAAGGCATCAATAGGCTTTCATGAAAAACGTATCAGTTGATATACCTGTCTAATGTTATTTGTATGTATATACAAATAACATACATAATATATAATGTTAATTTATGCCAATTAAAGTTAATACATGCTCTTTAAATTATTAGAAGGTTCTAGTTCGAGCCAATAGGGAAGTTTATTATCAATAAAGATGTTAATCATGATAATAAGAGTTTTAACAATTATTTTAATTAAATTCTAAAAGCTTTTGTAATGTATTTGCTGTCAAGTTTTCTGCCAGGGTTTCCTGTTGATTACTCTTTAATGAACTCTTACAAATCTTTTTAATGTTAATACGCTTCCATTTGGTGTTTATAACACATATATAAACTTTTGACAAGTGTCTTATAAGAGTCTTAAAGTGTCTAAAAAGCAACATTATGTTCATTATGTTTTTATAAATTCTTATCAACACATAAAAATATTTCTTAAAATCTTATAAGTCCCATGAGTGGCTCAATAACTATAAATCAATTCTTAATCCAAGGATCCTAATATAAACTGTTACCATTAACTCTTCTTTATGTACGTCAGGCATCTGTATCAAGTAAAGAGTGGTGATATAGGAATGTCCTGAAGATTTTTCCAAACCAAAATATTTCAGTATTTCTCAAGTCTGGTCTGATTTTTTATCTTTGAGCAATTTCAAGCGTTTAATTATTTGTGTGCTAGTGAATATTTATGTAACCTTTAGCGGTGTAAAGTAAACCATGTCGAGGAAAAATACAAAGTTCTCCTTCCATAGTTAGCAAAGAATTTATGCTTCTTCTGGCAGGAAGCTAAGCCTATAGTAAGATAGTCACTTTAAAACAGCATCATCCAATGAAAATGTGAACTGATCTGACACTTTAAATCACTAAATAATTAAATTAGATAATAAATATTAAACTTTTGGCCTTCTAAATTAGCTCACAAGTCAACAAAACGATAGTTGTATGTTAACATATGAAACTCATGAGACTTTTTTTTCCCTTCAAATTTACAATACCGAAAGGGCATCCAAAGGGTTTTGCAGGTAACATACTCAAGAGCATCCAGAGAGCACGTCTTAATGTGTCTTTTGAGGCACAGAAGAAAGGGTACTTTTAAACTTTGATTGGATGTAAAGGCCCCCAAATTGCTCTGTGTCACATTTCAACTACTAACAATAAAATTTTCCAATATCGACAAATAAAAAAATCTGAGCTTCTTCTATAAACCCTAAATTAATAAAAACAACACACATCGCAGTGAGACATCCTGTGTGCACAGATTTTTAAGTGTATACCCTGCCAGCTAAATACAAACAGCTAAACAGAAAACAGGTGATTTTACAGGTTAAACAGGAAACCATTTTACAAACTCATCCCCAGATGGCTGCAATCCACAGCTACAGGTCATAAACAAGCTCTCACACCTGGAGAGTAGCACATACCTCAGGCTTGGATTAATTAACTCAGGGAGGCTGCCTCGTTGACTGTGTGCACTTAAAACAATGAACAGGAATGCACTGTAATTTATACATAATCCATTTAATCATAGGAGTACTCAAGGTGGAGGGATTGAGAGGATAAACTGCTTTATAGAGTCTTAGCAGGTTAACCCTTGATGTGTCCCCATGATGTATTCAGGTGCTTTTGTGCTGAAACTCCAACTGAAGAAATCTAACCTGCAAAAAAAACAACTTTTTATTTACCTGGAAGGGACTCTAGGGGGATCAAAATAACCTAACCCTAACCCCTAACCCTAACCCTAACGGTCAATTAAATGAAGAAATAAAATTGTTAGTAAATAATAAAATGCAGAAATCCGAAGTCACAATGCAGGAGAAGAGGAGTAATTGATGTGTGGGGGAATGATGTGAAGAATATCGAATAAGTGAAGAACAGGAAGAGATGGAGGGGAAAAATAATTTTGCTGTTTAGATAAGATGTAATGCTTGGTGCACGTGCCTGTTAGTCTTAATCAGTTGTATTTTGCTTTATTTGGTAAAGACAGAAAAGCTTAAATCTAAGAATAATATCACTGGTTGAAAAAACCATGTACGGAAACTACACTTTTTCACTTTTTTCAAGTTTTTTTTTTTTTTTTTTGGACTTTTGGAATTGTTTATATAATGCACCAGATTTCATATAGCGCTTTATCACAGACCCTCAAAATGCTTTACATTAAATACATCATTCATTCGCTCACACAGTCACACCTTGGTGGTGGTAAACTACCTTAGTAGTCACATCTGCCCTGGGGCAGACTGACAGAAACACGGCTGCCAGTTTACGCCTACGGCCTCTCACACCAATACCACACAACACTCACATTCATACACCAGTGGAGAACACACACTGGGAGCAAGGTAGGTTAAGTGTCTTGCTCAAGGACACAACGGACAGACTAGGGATTGTGGGGATCAAAACGCCAACCTTCCGGTTATTGGACGACCGCTCTATCGCCTGAGCTACTGTCACCCTGAATACATTTCTGTGTCATGGGGGTTATAATAATACATCATGGATACAGAGTATCCACATGGTATGTGAGAATGGTTTTCCTGGATAGCCTGTGTTCAGCACGCTGCATGAACCCTGTGCAGGAAAAAGTCATAAACTCTTCCACACAGGGAGGTTAAGCTTTGTGCTTTTTCTTGTTCCAGCTCCAACTTCCTCACACAAACTCACGTTTCCACAGTTTTTCCCTTAACAACATTTTCTCTCTTTGATATGATCCGGGGGTCAGGCCTTCTGATGCAATTAAGACCCCATAAAGCAGCGGTGCTGGTGCTAGTTTGGCATGCAATATCCCCCTGAAACCAAGGGCTGAGCGCTGCAGCCTCGGCTGCCTCCGTGCCCACTCGTGAAACTTGTGATTATGCAAACCAAGCTGTTTACCTTGGATTACAATCAATATCAAGGTGCCCTGTGAGATTTGTATTAAAGCAAACGGCAGCAGGCGGCTCTACCCTGTGAAGTGGGCAACAGCTGTGTGGAACAGCGAGCAGGACTGTGAGTGCCAGATAAAAGATGAATTATAGATATCCTGCCCCAGGGCTGAGTGTGGAGCTGAGCAAGGAGGGGTGGGGCTTAAACGGGAAGCATCGAAAGTCTTGAGTAATGACTCCCAGTGGTAGGGCGGGAAAAGGTGGACAAATGTGAAGAAAGACGATAAATTACAGGATGTATTTTGTAGGTATGCAGGCACATGGCTCACTTATCATGCTGTGAATTTCAAAGACAAAGGTTCAAGAGACTGTAAAAGATGTGTCAGGGGCAAGGATTTTCTCAGCTGGAACAGAATTACAATTTGGAGCTGCTCAAGTTCAAACACATTGCAGTACCTCAGAGAGTGATTGGCATGTAATTTCAAGCACTATGTTTGATGTACGGGCTCCAACTCTAATGCTGCAGCGCTGCACATGTCCATGTCAGTGTTGTTTTTGTAGTATTTGTCTTTTGGACAAAAATGCTTATCATTTCTTATCACATTTTTGTCATTTCTGTATGTGATAGTTTTAGTCCAGTTTTAGTCAACAAATACTCAACAAGGTATGAGTCTAGTTTTAATCAGTTTTGTTAAAAAAAAAATAAAAAAAAAAAGAAAGCATTCGTCTTTCAACAAATTAATTTAAGTCAATAAGTATTGGAAATTGGAATCAAGGTTAGAAGGTTGTATGAAGTGTTGAAATTCATATAACAACAGTCAGTGGCATGCACAGACATTTTGAAGAGCAAAGGCCATGTGAAAAATAAGGGCACCTTGTGCAGCATGTGGAACCACAAGCTGCCTTATTAAGGTAGTGTGAGATTACAAAAAAAAAGGCTTGTGTTGTACGTAATTGCATATTTATTTCAATATTGAAATCTTTGTATTCAAATAAACTATGGTCTTTAGCATTGGAAACAACAACAAAAAAGCTTGTGTCTTGAAAACAAATAACCATAGGGTGGTGACAAAATAACTCCAGACTTGAGTGAGCATTATCATTCTCCTACTTTTAAGAAACATCCTCCTTGGTGCCATGTCTTTGAAGATTCTGATGACAACAAGGCAGACAGTTACTATTTCTGTCATTTCGCTAATACATGACTGCAAGTGGTAATTATGTGGCCTGTGAATTTATTTCCCCTCTGGGATAAATAGAGTTCTTCTTATCATATCTTAATGTAAACCTACATAATACTAAATATTTGATCAGCTATCCAAATCAGAATTAGTATACTTGATTCATCACTGGGGGACGTTTGATCATCACAGCCTTACACTTGCTCCTGAAAATACAAAAATTAGTAGAAAGAGAATAGAAGTTGTCGTTCATGAACAATTCGTTCAAAATAACGAAACTGCTGAGTGAACAATTTGAATGGAATCACTCCAAGACCTGATTCTTACTTTTCTTAGTTGAGCTGAGCTGTGAGTTTAGCTGTCTTCTTACTGAGTCAGCTGTAAAGGACACTGTGGGGATTCCTGGAGGGGGGGCGGGTATAAGTGTCCTTCACATTAGCATACAGCAAGTCCAGGGTCTTCACCCCCTTTTTGGGCAACTCACATACTACGTGAAGGTATTCATAACTGGGGTCATCTGAGATAATAAGTCGGGCTGTGGTGGTGTCCACGAGGCTGCACGCCATCATCAGGTTAGTGGGAGGGGGGGTTGTAATCAGCCACCATGATGACATGTGAAATCTCCAGAGGCAAATAATATGGCCTGAATCCTATGACTTACAGTTCAGTGTTCCGGCTACAGATGCGTTCTTTCATCGTTATATGACCGGGACCTCACCATCTGTTGTTAACAAGCACAACAAGCCCCCTTCCTCCTTTTCACTTATTATATATTGTCCACCTGGACAGTTTGGAAGCTGTTGATGGTGACGGTGTCCTGATGGAGCCATGTTTATAACAAATCAAGTTGCACTCCCAAAACTCTGCTTGGCTCCTTGAGAGCCCCATTTACTCGTCCATCTTATTTGCCAGAGATCTCACATTGCCTATAATGAGAGACGGTAGCCACGGCTAATACCTCTGTCGTCTTGCCCCAGCTGACTTACCCTGCCATTGTTTACGTCCTCTGCATCATCTATGAGTGAAATTCAGCTCTCCCACTATACTATAAAAAAATCCTCAATTCCCTTCAAGAAATACTGTATGTAGTTAGAAAAGGTTAAAGGGTTTGTTGAAAAAGGGAAATTCTTGCTATCATGAGTTAGAAAAAAAGGCAAAGAGTACGAAAGTGAGCAACTGTGGCTGTAACAAGCTGCATGAGCGATCAATGCATGCGCACGACACATGCGCACAGCTAAAGTATTGCTTCACATGCTGTACTAGTGACAAATTCTACTCACATTCGTTGTGAGGTGGTCATCATGTTATATCCATTACTATTGATTTTCGTTAGGATCTAGCTGTTTAGCAGGTGGGCAGTTGGCTAATTTAGGCTCAGCTGTTTGGCACTGTATGAGACAGGATACTTAACAACAGAAACAAATAAATGTAAGTTTTAGCTTGGCAACTGAGGCTTAGGGGGGGAACTGGATGGATGAAAGGGCCGACATGATGTCGGCGTTCGTCGAAGCTGCGAGGTTGTCCGTTGGAGCTGCGTGGCTGGCCGCTGCAGCCATAACTTGCGCCCTCTTGAGCGTCTGGGCCGCACCTTCTGCCGAGGCTGTACCGGAATTGCTGGTGGTATGTTTACGTTTTACTGCGGCTTTTCGAGGAGTGGAAGGTGGAGGAGTGCTTGCAGGTGGACGCTGGGGCTTGGAGCAGCTCAGGAAAAGCCCAAACAATTCCCGGTGAGAGGCGCCGATCGGGGCGGGAATGTTGTTCATAAACAGGAACTGTAGCAACTTTGGGATCGGCCATTTGTTAATCGAAGGATCCGGCGTATTCTTTCTTGCTAACCTGGAGCTTCTGCGGAGAGAGGAACCTCCCTCCAGGCCGATCGCATCCTCTGCATCGGACTCTTGAGGTGACTCCAAGATGCAGTCGAACTGCGGCTCGTCCTCGTCGTACGCTGAGGACATGGTCACGAGGAGCAACGAGGTAAGAACTAACACAAACGTTTTGGCAGGCATACGGAAATTGCTGGTTAGCTGTCAGAGCAGAGGAAGAGGCTGGGTTAGTGCAGTTTAAAATAAGGCGCTCTATAGGCAAAGGACCAATAGGAGCTTGGAGTGAATCAGCTGACTATCATCTCGTTGAGGTGGCTACTAGCCATTGGCTGCAGATCAGCGCTTGACGTCGTGTCCTGACAGAACTAACGCTATGCTTCATTTACCACTTTGTAGAATGTTTTTGTACTTAATTTTGACCTGTTGCCCCGTTTGCCTTTGGCTTTTGAGATTACTCCTATGGGGATGCAGAAGAGAATAATAAATATGGGCTAAGAAGAGCTTTACCCATCATACAACATAGGGCAAATGGAATCAAGATGCATTAATCCTTCCAGATTTCCCACAGAGCTGTTTTTATGAGAAATGTGTCTAATTCTCCCACACTAATGAACTTAACCTGTACAGACCCTTGGGTACAGCGATGTAGCTCAATGAGCTGCACATACACGAAATGAAAAGTTTTTTAAAAAAGTGTTTACAGTACATACGCAGAAGTGAGGAATAAAATTAGACAGCCAAGCAGGCTGACTACATCGAGACATGCGTCGGTTGTAAAATATTTGTCGGCTATAACTTACGAATCTAAACGGTCCGTGATACTTAACCACGCTGGCTTTCACAATGGCAACAGTGTTGCCCCTGTTTTGAATTTTCCCCTTGTACTCTTCGTACAACTCCATGAGGAGTGTTTGCTCCACCACTGAAAAAGACTCCGCTCTGCCTTTTTTTCCATGATCTCGTCATTTTGACAATCGATACGTTGGGGCTTTTTATGTACCGCAGAGGCGCGCATAGCCGCGGCTTGGATCAGCCTGGCTAGAATAAGCATTGATGAAAAACAGCTGAGCCTTGTTAGTGGAACAAGTCGCAGCTAAGATTAAAGTGGCTGCTTATTCAAGCCACGCTTACCGGCGATAGCCCAGCCTTCTTTAGCCAGCTTCGTGTGCAGCGGCGCGGGGTATGGGGGTTGCAGGGGCTGCGTGATCACAACATCTTGGTACTATTTAGTAGCAGTGCATGCCCTTTGTAAAAACCCTGGTAAAAACAGTTTTTCAGAACTGCTTACTTGTGCTTCCTACCCATTCGGCCACTGTAATAACCGTTGTTTTAGCCTTCACGCAACATTTTTGTTCTTATTCATGAAACGCTTAAATCGGGGACAGTTTCGGAGACAGCTTTTGCTGGGGACAGGTCATCCAATTCGGGGACTGTCCCCGGAAATTGGTGACGTCTGGTCACCTTACACAACAGGGCTTCACAAACTTACATCTTAACAACAAAATTAGGGCCTATTTAATAATATCAAGTCATCTATACAGTATGGTAAAGCAATAGTGGAAACATAACAAACCTTGCTTTGTACGTCTCAGAGTTGTGGCATCAATCTGGTGAGTGGGTAGTGCTTGGTTTCAAATGCCCAAACATCTACCCAATGTGTTGGGTAGTCCACAATAAACCAACAAAACTGTATAGAAATTTCAACCCAACAGCTAATAACTCTGTTCCCAACATAAATAACCTTGTGAAGTGGGTACTCAGAATACCCAACTCCATGAAACTAACCCAAATAAACTGAACAACAGGCTCAAACTAGTGGTTGGGTTTTGATGTTCTCATACAATTATTGCTATCTATCAGATATCATTATTGTAGTTAAGGTCTCCTATTATGGCATTTTTTTATCAAGTTTAAATCAGTCCCAGAGGTCCCAGGATAGTAAATTTGAAGTTTGTTGTCTAAAACACTAGTTTATTTGTGGATATCAGCCAGCCTGTACCCCCTCTTTTTGAGCTCCACTGGGAACGGGCTGATTCTGTACCTGTACCTTTAAATGATAATGAGCTGTGTGTAACCTTGCCTTTGCTCCCCAAGGCCACTCTGAGCTGCTGTTGTTGTGCCGTAGAATGCACCCCCTGACAGGAACGCAGTTGAAAGGACATAACAAGGTGAATAATCCAAGGTTTCCTTACCATTGGATGGATTCAAAAGCGTGTGCCTTTATGATTTCATTCAGGCTATTCAGATATGCCGAAAACAATAGTCCTCTGATTTGGAATATTTGCTGTCCTGAAAATATGACGATCTCTACCGTGACAGATACTGTACAGTTTATATACCCAGGTGCACCTCTATGTGTGCTTTTTTGAAAGACATAAAAACAGAACGAAAGTTTGCTGCTCTATTTGACATGTTGTCATGATCCGACACTTGTGTTTTTTTTTAATATGAGATCATTTTCTTCCATTTTAAGAAGCTAATGAGTGGATGGGATGCAAGGGTGTATTCTACGGCATAACACCTACACCGGCACAGCCGTGGGGGTCCAGGTGTGGTGGTCTGGAGATCTTCTGAGAACCTCTTCAGAGGTCTGCTATAGAAGCGAGTCCAAAGATTAATACCAACGATGGTAAACACACGCGATTGCAGCCAAAGCACTCGTCATAGGGGTGGTAGTAAAGCAACATATAATGTTCAAACTTACAGCTTCCGCGTTTAAAGATGAGTCCCTGTATTTTTTTTTTCATCCATTCACTCCAAATGGCCTGAAACATGCTCTCCAATAGGTCCTCAGCAGTCATTTTAATCCTAACCCCTAACCCTAACCCTAACCCCAACCCTAACCACACAGTCGGTAAGGATCCAGGTTTTATCTTCAACTTTTTAGCGAATCCTGCTTTAACTGCCCCTCGTTAGTAAAACAGTCTGTGTTGAAATGATTAGCATTTTCTGAGTTGTTGTGGGTACATTTCCATCAAAAATAAAATTAATCCACTGGATCCTCAAATCTTCCGATGAAGGAAGCAGAAATAGACTCCTGTCTTCATTTGTGCAGCCAAGAACCAAGCAGCAGCTTCGACATAGTTACAGTACCAGAGTGGTGTGTGCAAGGGGAAAAAATGGTGGAAGCTACCTCAGCGAAGAAATGTTAGAGGGTTGGGCTGACGATTATCAGGGGCAGTGCCACCAACATGTATGAGAAGCTTATGCAGCTATGTCATCATAACAAACAGCTTTTCCATTTCCATCGGCCCGTTTGTGCTCATGTTTTCAGAGAGGAGGGTAAATCAAGAGAGGGAGACAATGAAATTTTTTCATGTTGTGGAGGATTGTTGGCTTCAAGGGGATGCTTATTATTGGTAGAAAACCACCCAAAAGTGGATTTTTCATTATAGAGGACCTTTAACAGCAGCTAACAGCCTCCACAGAAACATCCAATGAAATGTCTCAGTCTGTGTGACTCCACTTTACTCATGCTTGACAGCTCTCTGCATCTCTGTTTTAATGTCCCTGCATGCTGTGATTTTACTGTGTGTCATCTTTGCATGCTGTGCCACACACACGCACGTACGCACGCACGCACATACGCATACAGAACACAAAGTAAAAGCTTCACCTGGAGGATTAGATTTGGTCCTCCAGTTAACAATATCAGACTGTAACTTCATGCTTGCAAACAGTTGCGTGGCAACTCAAATTGCAAAGAACAGAGTGGATCTTGTTTGACTTAACCTATCAGCTGCTGTGTGAGCTTTAACTTTCTGGTGCTTAATGTTTTAACTCTGAAAATGCTTCATTATGAAAGCACATTGTATTAACACAGCTGTCTTATTCCAAAACATTAGAGCATCTGGATACACCTGTATCTATATACAGATGTTTTAAGTCTTTACACTATATATGGTTATTAACTGCTAATAAACCAACAGATGGTGTGTGTCCAAGGCTGCTTGGAGACTGTGGTGAAGAACTGTTTCAACCTCTCCACAGGATCAGTCTACAGCTGGGGCGGGTACCTACTCTGTGGAAAACATCCTGCATTGTGCCAGTACCAAAAACAAAATGTCCTGCTGAACTCGATGACTACAGAACAGTGGCCCTCACTTCACACATCATGAAAACCCTGGAGCGGCTGATTCTACGCCCTCTGAGGTCTGAGGTCAAAGACAAACTGGACTCCTGCAGTTTGCATACAAAGAACACATTGGAGTGGATGATGCTGTCCTCTACATGCTTCACCGTGCCCTGTCTCATCTGGAGGAACCTGGGGTTTATGTGAGGATCATGTTCTTCGACTTTTCAAGTGCATTCAACACCATCCAACCCACCATACTCAAAGATAAGCTCACAGAGATGGGAGTGGATCCTTCCTGTGTTTCCTGGATCGCAGATTACCTGACAGGAAGGCCACAGTTTGTCAGGCTGGGGAACTGTGTTTCTGGGACATTAATGAGCAGGACAAGGACTCCACAAGGGAAAATCCTGTTCACACTGTAAACATCAGACTTCAAATACAGCACTAGGTATGTCACATTTACCGGTAAAATAATAAATCGTGGTAAAACGTCTGATGGTTAGTACTACTGTTTCAAATTTTAATCACCGTTAAAACCATTTTGATTGCCGCACTCTGGAAAAGCTCACAGTGATAGTGCTCAATGCTGAGAAGAGCAGCCGCACACAGCAGTCCTTTAGACACAGGCGCGCCACACGCATGTGCACCGCACAGTATAGAACTTACAAACATGGTGGAGGGCAGTTCTGCCGACCGTGTTGAAGAGATTTTTCCGCTGTTAAAGAAAACAAAGTCGGAAGTCTGGGCATATTTTGGCTTCTACAAAGATGCAGAAGGGACACTGATTGGAGGGTTGCCAGGAAGCATTTGTGCATATCAGCAACCAGTGTGCCATCCAAGAGGCTATTCAGTGCCAGCCGGCACATCGTTTCCCCTTGCTGATCACTACTTAAACCAGGACAGTAAATATGCTGACATTTTTACATTTCAATCTTAAGCGGTGAACAAGGTCAGCAGCACCTTATGGTGGAGAAAACAGACAATTGGTGTGGTTCATTTGATTTGTTTACATATTTCATGTTATCTTAAACACCTGTACTTTGCATTTGTTTACATGTGGCTGTATTGTTTCATATAATATAGTTGCTCTGTTATATATTTGAAAGAGATCTTTTTGAGGACTGAAGATTCTTAAAATTTGCACAATAAGGAATGTCATTTTATTTAAATGTTATTTATTTGTTATTGTGTTAATGTTTATGCCACTGGCACATTACTTTGTACTTTGTTATTACTAGTACTAGTGTTGATTACCTCTGGCTCTTTTAAAGCCCCCATCTTTAATTTTTTTAAGGTTATTGTTCCTCTGTTATTTAAGGTTAAGGAAAAATTCGTTCTGCATGTTATTTTGATTGTTATTCCAAAATAAAACTTTGTTGAATGATTTCAGGGCGTGTATAAGTACTTTTTAAACATTTTGAACATATTTCCACAATACTGTGATAATAATGATCATGGTAATAATTTTGGTCACAATAATCATGACGTGAAATTTTCATATCGTTACATCACTATGCAACACTGAGTCCTGCCACATCCAGAAATACTCAGATGACACCACTATTGTGGCATGTATCAGAAATGAACAAGAAGCTGAATACAGAGATTTGATAAGAGCCTTCAGTGACTGGAGTCACAAAAACTGCCTCCTCCTCAACACCTCGGAGACAAAAGAGATGGTCATCGACTTCTGCAGATCCAAACCCCCTCTTCTCAGCCAGTGAACACCTGTGGAGTGGACATCGAAGTGGTGACATCATAGAAATACCTAGGTGTACATCTGGATAATAAGTTGGATTGGTCTAAGAACATAGACTTCAATTACAAAAAAGGGCAGAGCCACCTCTTTTGCCTGAGAAGACTCCGACCAATAGACATCTGTAGGAAGATGCTGCAGATGTTTTATCAGTCTGTGGTAGCAAGTGTGCTGTTCTTCGCTGCAGTCTGCTGGGGAAGAAGCATCAAACACAAAGATGCAAGACGTCTAAATAAACTGGAGAAAAAAGCTGGCTTTGTGGTTGGATTCAAATTGGACTCAGTGGAGGATGTGGTGGAGAGATCTACACTGAGGAAGGTGAGGACTATTCACGGATCGCCCACTTCATAATGCCTTGATGGACCAAAGTGCCGATGGTGGTGGACGACTCCTCTCATTTCACTGCAGGACTAAAACATTTAAAAGATCTTGTGTGCCACAGCCATCAGACTCTATAATTCTTCTGTAAATAGTAGATGACTTGAGACATGAGAAATGAGAGTCAGTGGCAGCTGGTGAGAAAAATAGTAGGTGGGGCTGAAGGTTTGGAAACCAAAGGCCTGTAGGGGGGTATTGTCCCCCGGGAGATTTATTAAATTTTTTTGGGGGTTTTCACATGTAAATGAAGCATTCTGGTGCATTCTGAGAAAATAATTAAGTAACATACAATCTTGACCTACAAAGACAAATGGAGTGGGGAAACTGTATTTCAATTTATTGATAGGGCATTATAGCCGACACACAGCCTACTAAAATTCAATGTAATCCTATGATATAGAAACTGACGGTAGCGTACTTGTGTACATTTGCCTGCATCTCAACAGGTTAGACGACATCAAAGAAGCAAAGGAGCACACATAAACTGTATAAAGAATGGACAGAGTCTGCCTCCTCTCTGGGTGAAGCCACTCCGAGAACAGCACCCTCTGTTAATGGGCTGCAGTATAGGTCATAAATCCCGCCTCCGCCAGCAAAGCTTATGGGGCTGTGGACAAACTTTAGAAATTTATTACACAGAACATAAATTTTTCTCCCCCCTGCTTGTGATGTTGACATGTAGTTACAGTAAGACTGGTTTGTGCTCAAGTCCTCTTTTTTCCGTGCAGCTCCGTTTTAAAAGTTATTAGGGGGTTCATGTTTGCTATGATTGACACCTGATACAGCTTATAGGCGTTCAGGGATTGCGTAGCTCACTCGGCTGTTTGAGCCGAGCGTCATCACAGTGACTCTCGGCAAATGCGCGCATGGCTACTGCGCAGCGCTGGTTTCAGGAAATGAAGAAAAATCATATTGAGACCTTTTTGGCTTCAAATCCGTATACAGGCGGTAGGCGGAACCAAGTTGTCCATAGTATATACAGTCTATGGGAGCACACAAAGACAACAGCAGAAAAATAGTAAAGAGCAGACCCACATTTAAAACAAATCAGGCCACATATCAATATGATTAGTCAAAGGAAAACAACACAAACATTTGCTTTAAATACAGAACACTTTAATCACGTTTGATATTTCAGTGGAACTGAGTGAACAAATACAGGGTTCCCACTCTTTTCTAGAAATCATTTTCCAGGATGTTTTCATCCTGCCTTAAAATTTATTGATTTCTAACATTGTGGCATGAACATTGTTTGTTAGCTTTCTTTTTAGTCTGGCTATTAAGTAGTGTCTCACTATAATAAATTCATAGTTCATATTAGGTTTTAATCTTTATGAACTCTACCTTTCTATGAACAGATATTGATTAACTGTTTCAGTAGCCAAAACTTTGTTTTGCCAAGGCTGAAAGAGGAGCTACAACGGAGTATTAGGTCCACATTAAGAAGAGAAAAAATTTTAGACCTTGGAATTACTTACAAGAATAAAACTGTAATTAATTACTTACAATAATAAAGCAGTAATAAATTAATTACAAGAATAAAGCTTTTATAAAATAATTACTTATGATAAAGTCGTAATTAAATCATTACTTACGAGAATAGTCGTAGCTAATAGCCAATAGCTATTCTTACCTGTTGTTAGTTGTTTAAATGAGCGCTATGGAGCATTTAGATGAATTGAACTTCAGGTTTTAGGTTTCACAAACAAGGAGATTAATCCTTTGGCGTTTCAGCATCACATTGTCATAAGTATCAGGACATATGCAAGAAATGCATCTTTTACACAGAAAGAACCAGGCAGACTTGAAGGGAATCACTGTTTTTGAGGAGGGGGAAAGGCTGGAAATAGCTGTGCAGAGGCCAAATCCCTCAATGCAGCTGTTTATAGCAATAGCAACAGCATATGGCTTTATTTTATCGTATAAATGTATATGCCATAAGGTGTTGGTGCCTCTGCAGGTGTGGGTTGCTGCCAGTGTTGTGCCGGCATCAGAGACAGACACGGTGCTTGACAGAGCTTGACTCCCTCTGAATCGCAAATGTTGATCATCAGTTGAATTGTTGAAAAACCACAAAATGTAACGGGTATTGACTGGACCCAATTGCAGCACAAACAAGCAGGTTCACTTTAACAACAGTCTTTATTTAACACCAAATCCAATGAAGCAGCAGAGTATAGCAGGTGGGTATGGCAGGATTCGAACTCAGGTCTTCCGGGTGTTAGGCGAGCAGATTAACGGAGGACCACAGGGCAGGCAAGAATTGGACTCGTGAGCAGGGAATTGTCCACAGTCTTAATTTGCTCTACGAGTGTAGTGAAGGGGAAAACGCTCAACTCACAGCTGAAGGAAGATTTCTTGGAGAGTGGTTCAGGTGAGGACAGGGTGAGGATCCAGAGCTTAAAGTGGAGCTGGCAGAACCAACGTCGGCAGAGGAGGTGAGTTGGCGAGGTGAAGCTGACGAGAAGGGGGATCTCAACAGAGCAGGAACAGGCCGAGTGCCACCCAGCTGCAGGCAGACGAATAGCAGGAGACAGGCAGGCAGAGCTCGTAGTCAGGGACAGAAGGCAGGTAGATTTACCGGGGCTGAGGCATGAAGCAAAGGTCAGGGGCAGATCAGGTCAATACCAGGTAAGCAGTCCTGGGATGAACCCTGGAGAGTCAGGCATGAGAGCGAAGACAATCTGGCAAAGAGTGAGGGGAAAGAAGCTGCATATATATACTGGCCTGATTGGAGATGATAAGCAGGTGAGAGCAGCAGGTGGAAGCAGTTAGCTGATGAGGGGTGTGGCTGAGCAGCAGAGCAGGAGAGGGGCAGAGCAGACTGTTACACAAAATCCCTCTGAATGGCCCACTGATGCACCCACAGGTAACTCTGCAGTTGACCAGTTCCAGCCATTCTACCTTGCCATAGCTATCAATGGCGATTCCTTTAAATCAAGGTATCACTGCTTCCAGAATCAGTCTGTGACTGGCTTAAGTGTGGAATGGGACATTTTACTTATTTAAATAGTCTTTATTATTGGTGAGTTCTAGTCGTGGATTTCCCTTCAGCAGGGCACTGCTAGGGATTCTGGGCCCCATGAAAAGAATTTTTACACGGCCCCCAACACAGAGGGCCACATTTTTTATGCTTTTTCTAATTAATTATTTACTGATGTTGAGAGTGCATGCAACAGTCAGGTAACAGTGAGAGAGCCCTCTGCTGGATCAAATGGCAAACTACCTCAGACAGCCTGGTGCTCTGGTATACTGTATAATTTGAATTCAAACTGTTAGTTACAATTCAGATGTGTGCTCCCCTCTAACACACTAAAATCTCATCACATGATGGTTTTCAGCCTAACTTTGTTCTAACATCAGTTTTCTCCAAATCTCCCTGTCTCTCTTTGTCTGTTGTTGTTGCAATGAACCCTTGTTGGCATCCATTTAACTGTTTGACAACATCTGCTTCACAGCAGGCTATTACGTCATGGCTCTCCACAAAATCTCCTGGATTTCATAGACACAGCAGGAGACCTGAAAGTAATTATTTATTATATCTAATCAGTGCTGTGACAATAATCCTCCAAGCAGATCAGGTGAGTAAAATAATTTCCAATACAACTCAAAATTTTGTAAAATAATCTTCAGAACAAGCAGAAAAATTTGCCTTGTAGTGTGTACCCTTGTAATGAATAACAATTTCATCATTCCTGCTACTGATTCTGGGTCTGACAACTGCTGTAAAAGGACTCCAGTTCCCAGATTAATGTTGCATAGCTGGCACTGTGACTGGAGGCTGCAATGTAAATGGATAAAAATAATATTCAGTGATTACCGATGCAGAGCGATCTGCTGCAGGATTAATGCGTTAGACATCTCACAAATGCAAAGCAAGACTCATCACTGTTTTACTTCCCACTACGCCTAAGTAAGGCCTAAGCAGGGAGTGATGATTGCTGCTGTGTTCAGCTCTGCACGGATGAGATGTGATGTGAGAAAGAGACTGAGAGATTTTTCAGTGGTGAGGAAAAGGCTCAGACTTCAAAGGTGTGTCAGGACATGCAGCACTCTGGCAGCGTGGCATTGATGCCAGCCCTGTGTGGCCATGTAAATTTCATGACATCCATCCACCAAGCTATCTACTTATCAGCCTACATTCTTGCATTTCCATGATTTTTTTTACTCTTTCTCAGAGGGTTTGTCCTAAAAAAACACTCAACCCCGTACACAAAGATTTATTAAAGTGCACTTCACACCCATGCATGCGCATTCACACGTCTTTTTCCCTCTGTGGTCCTCCCATTGGTGTATTGTGTTTCTCTTAAGCTTGCCAGCTGTCAAATGCAAGCCAAAGCTTCTCTCCACCGCTTTATTTCACCCCTCCTCTCCACCTCTCTCACCCAGTTGGCCTCAGTCTCCCTCACCTCTGTAGCATTCACCTCTCCAGCTCTCTGAACCCAGATCCTCTCTCTGGGGCCAGCCTGTCAAGGTGAACTGGGCCTGAGATCTGTTTGTTTCTGTGAGAGAGAGAGAGAGGGAAGCTCAGAGAGAGCAGTGAGCAGGGCTGGAAAGTCTAAAAAACCACCATAATGGAAATGGAAGTCCTGCTTTACATTCAGTGGAGTAGCAACAGAAAACGAATGAGCTGCTTCTTTAAAGGAAAGACACATGTCACAGTGAATGCTGTGCACACTCCATTTTTAAGTACTTTCTCATTTTTAAAGCTTTGCAAAATCAGACATCACACCTTTTTGTAAATCTTTGTTTTTATCTGCATTATTTTTCCACATTTCACCATGAAACGTTTTAGCAAATGATACTGTTTTTAACTGTAATTAGCGCTGTGCAGCTTAAACCTATTATCAAGCTCTGAAATGATCATCACTATCATTTTATTTGTTTGTTTTTATTATAGTTAGTTTTTAATGGTATTTTTTGGAACGTAATCTTAGGATAGCTTTTTTTTAACAAACTGATGTTTTTTTTTCTAATAAAAAAAACTGTTCTGTAGACAGTCACTTTTTCAAACTTTAACATCTCTTTTGACACACTATTGTGGCGTTTTACACATGCATGTCTTAGCTGCATCTCTGCACCCTTGGTTGCTGTTGATGATGTCAAAGTAGAATTTGGAAAGGTGAATTTTTATATAAGAGATATAAGAGATTCACCAAAGCAGAGTCATGATGACAAAAACTCCAGCCCCTTGAATCCTAAAGGAAGCTGCAACCAGCAGTTCAGAGCAGGTGAGCAGGATTTAAGTACTCGTGGAATTATAGGAACACGAAACTAAGTTACAAGCCCCACATGTGAGTGCTTTATATTAAGTTTTCTGTAAAAAAAAAAAATCAGTAGACATGCTTCAGTGTGTCTTCTCTCACTTCTGTCATTATTTACTTTTTATTTATCTATTTTATTGTTTATTTGATGTGGACATCACAATTACATTGGACAAACCAGATGCATTGTTTGAGTGTTTTAGCACATGTGCTAATTCGCAACACTTGTACACAGGAGGCTTTTGAAGTAACAAAAGTAATAAGAAAATAAAAGGAGAGGGGAAAAAAGGAATGCAGTGTACAATAACATTACAACAGTAAAAGACAGACAGTTTTTTTTCTGATTAAATACATACATAAGCTACAAAGCAAAGGCAAAACCAAAGACAACATGGTCAACCATTAAACCAGTTTAAGACAAATCGTGTGTGCACTGTTGTTTTGATTTTAGCCACTGTTTGAGTCCTTCGTAAAAAGCATTACTGTTGGTCTCTGATTTCAGAGTAGTGGGTAGAGAGTTTCAAAGTTTCGCTCCCTTTACGGAAAGAGCAGACTGACAGAATGAAGTCTTGCATCTTGGGACAAGACAATCAACACTGGTGGAGGCTTGTGTGGCCGCTCGGTGAGAGCTCTGACGCCTGGTGGCCAATTCAGAGAATTCAGAGAACAGAGGTGACAAATTATTTAGACATTTAAAAAACAGTTTAAGAGTACTAAAATTCATAAAATTTTCAAAGGTGAAAAGGTTGTATTTTCTTAAAATGTGTTAGTAATACATTCTCATTGGTTTCCAGTCCATGAGTTTTATTGCCTGCTTGTATATTGAGATTATAGGTTTTAATGTGGTTGAAGAAACTTGTGACTATGTTGTGATGCAATATGACACATGAGAAAAAATCATTGCATGCATGTACAATTTGCAGCTTGATGTGGCAGGTTACTTCTTATAAAACGAAAGCAGTTAACATTTGGTCTAACCTTGTTGCAGATATCTTTAATCTGACTATCAAACTATTAGTTTTTGTCCAAGATAATGCCTAGGTACTTGACTTCATTCACTTCATCAATGCTTTCCTTCTTAATGCTGACCTCAAATACATTGTGTGCGGGCCAATTACGGATGGACAAGCACATGGATACAGTTTTTTCTTTTTACATTAAGAGTTAGATGAGATAATTCGAGCCATTCAGAGATGTTCAATAAAGCCTGAGTTAGATGCTCACCTGCCAGGCTGGGTGTTTTATTGAACACATGGATGACCGTGTCATCAGCGTACATCTGGCAGTTGACATTTGGACAGCAGCTTGGTAGATCGTTAATATACATTGTGAACAACAATGGACCTAGAACAGACCCTTGCGGTACTCCTATGCTGTTTGCACTCATATGTGACTTCCCCCCATTGACCCTAACGCTGTCTCCCCCCTCCCCTAGGTATAACTACTTTAGAGCTGCAGGTGATATTTTGAATTGATTTAGTTTATTGAGTAAAATACTGTGGTTAACAGTTTCAAAGGCCTTTTTTTAGATCCAGGAACACTGTCCCTACAACATTTCCTTTGTCCGAGAGGCTTTGATCTTCTCAAGCAGATAACAGTTTGCTGTTTCTGTGGAAGATTTTTGTCTAAATCCAAAGTGTTCCATTAATTGTTCAGCTACAATCTTCTCCAGAACTTTTGACTACAGGGAGGATGGCAATGGGCCTATAATTACTTACTAAGTCTTTGTCTCCTGATTTATAAACTGGGGTAATTATTGCAGTTTTCCAGCTCTCTGGGAAGATTTTTGTTTGTAATGAAAGGTTTACTAAATAAGTGATTGCCTCCAACAGACAGCTCAGATGTTTTTGATAAATGCAGCATTTAGGCTTTGGATATCCTTAGACATGGAGTTCCTCATGTTTGCAATCACTTTTTTAACTTTATCATGGGATACCTCTTTTATATAAAAGGAGTCTGTGTGAGCATGGTCAAATTCTTCAGGAGTTGACTCAGTAGATTTAAAATTTATTGCTACACATGTATTTAAGAATTGATAATTGAATTTTCCTTCGGGGATCAATAAAGTTCTTCTTATTTGCCCTTTCACAACATTTCAAGTGTTATATCTTCCTTACAAAGTTGCAGTATGACAGCGATACAGTACATGTAACACACTTACTCTTTAAAATACCCCCCACCCCCACCCCAAACAGTATGATGAGATTCTTCAGAGATTTCAATTATTATTAGTACTAGTAGCATTGTGATATTATATACAAGGAGAACGCCCACAACAAACATTCCTTTTTCAAGTATTTATTTATAACAACAACAAAAAACCTGAGCCAGAGTAGCAGATGTTTAAAAAACTCCAATCATTGTTTTGTTTTGTTTTTTCTTTTGGCTTGTCCCATTGAATTCACTGCAAAATGTCCCTGCAATTTTTTGCAACTCAAATTGCATGAATTTCCAGTAAAGTTCTTCTTATCTTATCTTAACTTATCTTTCACCAAGGTTCATTTTTATGCATGTTACTGAGATTTGTACCAAGTTAAAATTTGCCTTTTTTTTTATTTTCATTCATTCATTTATTTATTGTTATGCCTTACTGACCCCCTTACAGCAAAAAATAATGCATTACAGTTGTTGTATTACAGTGATGGAATTACTGTAATACAATAACCTTTCCACTCCTACAGGACACATTTGCTTGTATTTTTTTCACATTTCTACAAATAATACCTTTTGCAAATTTTTTAACTATTTTTTTGCATACATTTTTACAACGGAAACACCATACCATTGGGGAATTTTTGCCTTTTTGCTTCTCATCCACTTTTTTGGGCTCACAATATCTGCATACTTCAACCTACAGACCTTGTTTTTGCTTTAAATTGTTCTTATCTTTTCAACTACAAAATTATGACTTCATTCTCATAAATTCATGACTTATTTCTTGTAAAATTCTAACTTTTTATGATATTGTGGCTTTTTTCTCATAAATTTATGACTTTATCCTCTTAAAATTATGATTGATTCTCGAAGTCTGTAAAGAAAAAATTCTCAATGCAGTCTTAATACTCTGTCATAGTATGACTTTGACACAACTGTTTTTATAGCAGTCACGGCTAAATCATTCAATGACTACATGCATGTAAGAACAGTGACATCTACACACTGAGGTATGTTGCTGTTTTTTTTTTTTTTTTTTATGAACAGGCTGATTTTTGCTCACTTGCCCAAGGAAGTAAGGACTATATAAACCGTGAAGCTAGTGTAACATTTCTCACAAACTGATTTTGTGGTACACGGCTGAGGACTTTCCCACTCCATAAAGTTCAACATCAGCTGTATGTGGATATGATTTAACATCAATAGGCTGAGCGCACACAACATGGCTCTGGATAGCAGTGCATGGAGATGTTCTCTCATTCACAATGAAGCTCAAACATAGAGATAACTGCACAGGGCGGCAAAACTTCATCAAAAAATAAGCAGCGATGATATTTAAGTGCAGAAATGAATTAAACCTTGAGACAGGGCAGATAGCGAGGAAATGATGCGCACTTCCTGGTGTTTGCTCTTTGTGGATTACAACCTATGTGCCTAATAAAAGAATTATAATCACTCTCCCATCATTGTTGCATGATGAATCAGAATTTTAAGACTCCCATTTCTTCTCTTGGAATTATTTTTGTGGAAGTTAAAGAAACAATAATTCAGCTATATGGCCTTGACAGAATCAAATGAAGCTTTATATGGATTTGATGTTGTTTTATTTCAATGTTTATTACAGTGTGCATTTGAGAAATTGGAGAATTAAAGTTTTTTTTCATGAAATTTTAGTCTTCACCTGTTGGGTTGAAATAGATACGAGTTATAGCCTCAGAACACTGAGCAGAAGCAGCTTTCATTTGTAAGAAGAAATGAAAGACAAGGACATGGGAAAAGGATATGCTGACTTTCCTGCACAGTAATCCCAGCTGACTGTATCCCTCAGGGTGTGTTTCCTTTCTGCAAAAAAAGAAGAAAAAGAAGGACACTCTCAGCTCTGGTTTTGTGTAACTCTGGACCTGCAGGGTTGTAACACAAACCAGCCTCAGTTTGTGGAGAGGTCTCTGAAAACAAGGTCTAGTTTGTCCCATCTGCTTTGACTCCACAACAAATAGCCACTCCATGTCACTAATATAAGCAAAATGCATTTCAGTCAACCCCTTTGTGAATGGTAATCTGATATTATCCACACCCACTGAAGTACAAGTTTCACGTGCACAACTTGACTGACACAGTGATCATTCTTCCTACATGTACTTTACTGTTCACACAAGTCCTGACACAAAACGCTTGCTGCTCTATACTTGGTGTTCTTGGTGGTTTCGACTCATTTTTGAAAACCTCTAAACTTTTAAACCAGAAACACGATCTTTTCAACAATGTCGTGGTGCATCAGAACTCTTTTGCATGTTTGCAAAAGGTAACATCCAGTCATTTCATCCAGCCACTACCAGTTAACCTGGTTCTACAATTTGATAAAGGTTGATGGTTGCAATGCCAAACTCGAGGCTTTAAAAAAGGTGGTGTGCTAACTCTGGTCATGTAAGGGTGCCAGAGGTTGCAGTTCTTTAGGTGTTCAATTACAGTAAGGCCAACTGCAAAACCCACATGCTTTCCTGTTCTTAATAACTCAATTTTAAATTAAAATAAAGATGTAAACTGCTTCGTGAAGGTCATTCTGGTCTGAAGTTAAATATACCTTTATAATTCATTAGTTTTGGAGATAGTAGGTTTGTATAAGTGAAAAATGGGTGCTTTTTACTAGTAGGGGTTAGCACAGCGGTCCGGGACAGTGTGGTATGCTACTATTGTCAAATGTTAAGATACCCAAATAACCAATCCGATACTGTAGGGGGTACCAAGTGGACCTATGTGCAGAACTATACTTTTAAAATGATTTAACTCCCTTAATGCATCCCATCTCTGTTGTTGGTGCGTTTCTGTTTATATTAGGGGATGCTTTGGGAAGTCGGGGGTTGGTCCGTTGGTTCTTTATTCACCAAGAGACGCCAGCTGAGCAGCCAGAGGGGTACAGAGATTAAAGCAAAGGGAGGGAGAGATAGCACAGTAGAAATCTTACTGTAACCTGATCCAATACATGCTGCAAACATTGTTCTTTCCAACTCCTTTCTGGCTACTTTGCATGTTGCGTCTTGTACAAAACAACTGTCCCAGAAATACCCTGAAAATAAAAGTAGCAAGCAAACTAACTCACCGACGCGGTATCAACCAAGAACTGAATCAACCTCTCCACAAGATCTTCAACCTGAGTCTACAGCTGGGGCGGGTACCTGCTCTGTGGAAAACATCCTGCATTGTGACAATACCAAAAACAAAATGTCCTGCTGAACTCAATGACTACAGACCAGTGGCCCTCACTTCACACATCATGAAAACCCTGGAGTGACTGATTCTACGCCTTCTGAGGTCTGAGGTCAAAGACAAACTGAACTCCTGCAGTTTGCATACAAAGAACACATTGGAGTGGATGATACTGTCCTCTACATGCTTCACCGTGCCCTGTCTCATCTGGAGGAACCTGGGGTTTATGTGAGGATCATGTTCTTCAACTTTTAAAGTGCATTCAACACCATCCGACCCACCATACTCAAAGACAAGCTCACAGAGATGGGAGTGGATCCTTCCTGTGTTTTCTGGATCACAGATTACCTGACAGGAAGGCCACAGTTTGTCAGGCTGCTGAACTATGTTTCTGGGACATTAATGAGCAGTACAGGGACTCCACAAGGGACAGTGCTGGTGCCATTCCTGTTCACACTGTATACGTCAGACTTCAAATACAGTACTGAGTCCTGCCACATCCAGAAATACTCAGATGACACCGCTATTGTGGCATGTATCAGAAATGGACAAGAAGCTGAATACAGAGATCTAATAAGAGCCTTCAGTGACTGGAATCACAAAAACTGCGTCCTCCTCAACACCTCAAAGACAAAGGAGATGGTCATAGACTTCCATAGATCCAAACCCCCTCTTCAGCCAGTGAACACCTGTGGAGTGGACATCGAAGTGGTGACATCATAGAAATACCTAGGTGTACATCTGGATAATAAGTTGGATTGGTCTAAGAATATGGACTTCATGTACAGAAAGGGGCAGAGCCCCCTCTTTTGCCTGAGAAAACTCTGATCAATAGACATCTGTAGTAAGATGCTGCAGATGTTTTATCAGTCTGTGGTGTCTACAGTGTTCTGTTCTACGCTGCAGTCTGCTGGGGAGGAAGCATCAAACACAAAGATGAAGACGGAGATGGAGAAAGGGCCAATGGTGGTGGACGGCTCCTCTCTCTTCGCTGCAGGACAGAGAGATTCAGGAGATCTCTTGTACCAACAGCCATCAGACTTTATAACTCTTGTGATAACTCTAACAGTTATCTATTATTTACAATTTACAAAGTTTATTTACAAAGTTATTAGCAGTAAAGTTATTCTTATTCTTATTTTGTTTCCCTTTTATTAGTTTTATTCACCTATTTGGTCATTTCTATACTCATTTTGTTGATCTCACACAACACACACACACACACATACACACACACACACACACACAAGAACATGAATTAAAAATTCAAATTGTCAAAATTGAAAATCCCACAAAGTGCCTACCTATTTATTTGATTATATGTCATCTTACCCTAACAACATTTTGTCGCTGTTGCATGCTTCCTCACTTATCTTGTATTGTTTCATATCACCAAATGAAATTCAATAGATTTAAAAAGATAAAAAATAAATAAATAAATAAAATCAATGTGAAATAAGACTTTTTTTACACCGAAGTATGGATTGAGCCTTAGCTTGGACAAGCATTTATAGAGTAAAACCATGGTATATTTAATTTAAAGCTAACACAGAGTGAACACAGCACTCTACTTTTTGTTTTACTTCTGTTTTTGGACAACATACACTGACCATGCCCACAGTCTGCACAGTCTGATATGTTAACTTGCACCCCAAAATCAAAATCAAGCTTTCTCTGAACTGAAAGCACCTTCAAGATCGAAGCTTACTGTACCAAACTACAACCTTTTCTGGAATCATCTACCAGTCCAGGTCCAGGGGTCAAACACCCTTTCTGATTTTTGGAGTAGACTTAATATGTTCCTCTTTGATAAAGCTTATAGCCAGACCTGCTGCAGGTCTGGATCAGTCCTTGGTTTTGCTGCTACAGGTTTAGACTGCTGGGTGTTACTGGGTGTTACTGGTACACTGATCTCCTTGCCCACCTTCTCCACCTCTTTCTGTCTGTGTCTTTAACCCCCCCCAGAATGCAGCTTTAATCCCTTAAAGATTATAAACTCATGATTTCCCTCTCCACAGGCCAACCACAGCCGGACCTTTGTCTCTGGGCTAATTGTGATCATGTGTGACAGTCAGAGGATGAAGCCCAGCAGAAGATGATGTATTTTCTGCTCCTGATCCGACTGCAATCTTCAAACTGCACTGGATGGCCAAACACTGTACTGTTTATGCTGTTTTGATGTTTGTTTCCTGGACAGACTGAAGGAGGAGTGAAGAAAAACATCAACCACTTCCCCAATCAGCCTTTCATATACTGTATTTGGTATACATCACATCAAATTGGGAAATGTACTCATTATTCTTGGGAATAATGAGTGAATTACTTGGGCCATTTGTTTTATAGCTTATCACCTACTTTGACATTTTTACACTCTTTGTAGATGAATATCAGGACCAGTGATTCCCTGCATACTGTGCTTTGTGTCAGGTTGCCAAGATGTTGCATCATGAATCAAAAATCACTGATCCAAAGGAGACATTTCCCAACAAAAGACAATAACTCACACTGTTTGCCTTAGTGGCAGTGATAGCTGAGGCACGGAGTGACGGATGTATTCACCTTTTTTATGACTTTCCATGGCTCTGAACTAGAATTAATGTTTATTTCAAATATGTTCACTCACAGAGTTGGCAACAAACCAAACCATAAACCAGCAGCTGGTGAGGTTTTCTCCATCACTGAATCAAAAATAAACATTTTATACACAACAGATATTATTGCATGAAGTAAAGGTACTCGCATGCATTTGCTAGGGTTGAATGAACATTTTCTAGATAAACCTTAATTTTTTTGTTTTGAATCATTCTCTTGAAAGTATCTTAAGTTTTTTAAATGGTTTAAATCTGTTTGATTTTAATGCTCACCTGATAAGGTCCAAACCATTAAACCCTCTACCTGCACAGACCTCTCCTCAAACAACATTTTTGTCAGAGACTAAACTTTCTGTGACTCCATCCTCCTTTCAAATGTAACTAAATTATTGAGTAACTCCATCAGAAAAGTCATTCAAGAGTAACTTTTGCTTTACTTTTTGCTGCAGTCATCTACTCTTCTTAGAAAATGTTCCTGCTCCTGGTCCAGTGTTTAGTTCATTTGTTTAATGAAAGCAGAAAATTCATGAATTCATAGAGGAAGTTTGTTTTTAACAGCATATGTATACTGAAGTCTTATGTCCGTCAAGTTTCCCTTATTTTTGCACATTCATATTCCATATCTTGTTCATGTTTCATTTTAAAGTCACTAACCCTTGTCTCTGCCCCGCCCCTGCCTTGTCACACCTGCCTCCTGATTGTCTGTCCCCACCTGTTTCCCATCACCCTCATTCCCTCTTGTATTTAACTTCATGGCCCTAACTGTCTCGTCGCCAGTTAGTTGTATCTCAATGGGTTCTATTTTCGTGCCTTGCCGGAGACGTGCCGCAAGCGCGGCATAAGTCAGATCCGCCGCGCTGACAAGGCATGTCCAAGCACATTTTGGTATTTTGGTGAGCCGCGCAGCCCGGCGTAAGTATCCCCCCCTTCCTAACTCAGCTCCTCCCAGCAGCATAAGTCGTAGCGAGGGAGGAGAAAGGGCGTGGAGTGGGTTTAACACAGCCGAGACCTGTTTTCACCAATCACATCAGCTCCTCTCCTCGCCTTTAAATCCGCCACAGGCGAGGCGTATTACAATTTTCATGAAGTAGTCAAAGAGATCAAGAGATGTCTGAAGACAGTAATGCCACAAGATGGCGACAAAGGGCAGCTCCTCAACAAGTGTCACTGTAAGCGCTGCACTGGGCGTCCTCCACACTCTCTCATCTGAGCACAGATGGATTTGGTGTGTGTAATGTTGGACCCACTAGTAAGACAAACACCCTTTTCCACAAAAAAAGACACTCACATAAAGTTGCACATATTCAAACCTCACGTGACAAAGGTGGGTTGAGCGCATAAACATAAACTCCAAAAATGGCATTAAAATCGGAACCATCTGTGCGTAAATGACGCATCGCGCTCCGTGGCCTGGCTCTTTCTTTCATAGATGTTGGCATATAAAATAAATTTGACTCACAAAACTGAATATTATAATATCCGTATGTCGGCTTAAAGTAGATAACGCATCTGATCACTGAAACAAATCATCTGTTCAGCCGCAGCAGCAGGACGAGAAGAGGACACAGAGACATGTCCAGGTCGAGCTGTGCGAGAAATAAGAGGAAGAGGAAGAAAGAAAAGGAGGGAGACGAATTACATATCTTGTTAACTTCATCATGTGTGTTTATTTACTAGATATTTAATTTAATTTGATGCGGTTTCAGCTGTGTTGATTCGTTCACGTTGTGTGTCCAAACGCGTGCCAAACGCGCTCATCAGATCAGATATAGATCAGAATATATCTATATAGATCTAAATGTATGTGCTGACTCAGATTATTAGTTGTTGATGATTATTTATTGCACTGAAATGTGCCTGACACTGTGGAAACCTGCCGATGAGGCATCAGTGACGTATGCCGATACGCCGCCGGTCTACGAAAATACTACTAGACTAGCTGCGCTCCGCCATGCGCTGAAAGCTGACCAGGTTTGAATCGGCGAGCTTTCAGCGCACTTTACACGTTACTGGCAAGCACGAAAATGTCACTGCGCCCGCTGATTCTGTTGACACCTCCCCCTGCCACGCCACCACGCCCAGCTTGGCGGATCTCGGCTCGCCTCCGAGCGCCTCAGTCCACAAAAATACCAAACTGGCTTTACGCCGGGCTCCGCCAGACGAAAATACAACTGCGTGGGGTCCACCACCCTCCGTCGCCTCACCGGCGCGCACAAAAATAGAGCCCAAAGTCTTCGTTACAGCATTCCTTCATAGTCATAATCAGGTCTGGTCACGTTCAAACGGTGCTTGCTTTTTTAATCTTGCCCTTTGCCTCACTTTTTTTGGATACTAAATGAACAATTTAAATTAAATTAAATTTCACCTATGTACAAAATAACAATAATTTTCAGTTAAAACCAAACTTAAGACCCAGCTCGTGCAATTTGAACAAGCTTACCCCTGTTATAAATGCTCCAAAGAGTCAGATACCTGGACTAATGCTTCCATTCCCTGTTGGGAATGGAAGGGAAGAAGAAAGGAGGTTAGAAGCAATAGATGTCAGGCTTTTTTTTTTTTTTTTACCAAACTGTGAAGCTGTATGAAACATTTCCTGAAGCATGGCTTAAGTTTGAGGATTCATTTGTCAGTTCTGAAGCATTTTTAATTAATTCAATCAATCAATCAATCAATCAATCAATTTTTATACATAAAAATTCACAAATCACACCAATCTTTGTCTCAAGACTCTTTCCAAGAGAGCAGGTCGAGACCTCACTCATTGTTTCGATGTATTACAGAGAGCCAACCTCAAGATGGGAAAAGATTGAGTCCCATCTATAAAATAAGACCCATCCTTGACTCATCTTAAACCAACACAAGTAAGGCACTTTGCTGTATTTAGCAAGTTACAGTGGCAAGGAACAACTTCCCTTTAACAGGTGGAAACCTTAAGCAGAACTGGAGTTATGTTGGACAGCTACCTGCGGCCACTGGGTTGGGGAAGAGAGGGGATAGACGGAAATACAGAGAGAGAGAAGGAGAAGAAAAAGAACTTAATTGATCCCCGTAGGGACATTCAATTGTCTGTGGTCTCATGTCATCTACTATTGACAGAAGAATTAAACAGTCTGATGGCTGTGGGTACAAAAGAACCTATGAATCTTTTTGTCCTGCAGCTAAGAGAGGAGCCGTCCAGCACCACTGGCCCTTTTCCCTTTGATGTAATGACTTTTATTGACTAAAACCAGACTCAGAATAAATAATAAAATAAAAGAGCTAGAAAAATCGTCTTGACAAAGAATTTGTTTTTTCCTAGTTTAATTTTGCCTTTTATGTAAAATCCCAACTTTATTCTTGGCTATCTAGCTTTTGCTCAAACTTCCTCATTGTTTCTTTTAGCCCTGGTTCTAATTTTCTCCTGGTACTGTATTTCATACTAGAGTAGGAGAGTAAAATGAAGATGGTAAAGTGACTAACTGATGTGCACACACACAGGACAGACAGAATCCTAAGAGCCAAACTATCATCTTTTGAAATTGATCTATTTTCGAAGGATTTAAACCACAGCAAATCACTCAAGATAATTGAGACACTTTACACATTAAAAAATCTCTTTCTATATGTACTACAATCCTGCACAGCTAATATGATGCTAAAGTAACTTGCATTCTTGATCAAATATATTCAAACAAGGGGCAGTGAGTGAGCAATTCCTCTACTACAGAGGCATTTTGAGCCTCTGGCCATTAAAGAGGTGAACATTAATTGTGCTGTGAGTTAGCGCTCGCCTCACTCCCAGTTTCATTAAAACCAAGCCGTAAGTCTGAATCCCACTCAGTTTATTTTTTTTTCCAGTCTTTTGTTCTAGCTCTCTCTTTCTAGGTCAGTTTGCTGTTGCCTTGGGGTGATGGTGTGTAAATAGGAGCAGTTGTCTGTTTTGATATTGACCTGCAGCCCTGTGGGAGCATCTCTCTCTGTTCTCTACTGAGATCCCAAGTGACTCAATCATCTCTCTCCTCTCTGGGGCTGCAGGGGCTGTTCTTGTTGTTCAGACAAAGATGCAGCAGATGCTGCATGTGACTGGAGTCTGACTTACTCCACAGCAGACCTGGATGTTAAAAGAGACCACCCTGCCGCTCTGGGTTCCCCTCATGTAGCTGCACCTCCGTCTCCAACATCCTCATTCAGCCAAGAGTCTTTCAGCCAGGTGCCAGGGGGCCAGGGTGGAGGGGAGTTTTTATTCTGATGTGTGGGAGTTTTATGGAGCCTTATATCAAAATTAGAGGGTCAATATCCTGCCCTTGGCTCAGCAGAGTTCTGTTACTCAGCCTGAGCTGTGTGTTTTATTTATTTATTTTTATCGTTATTATTATTTGCAGAGGTGGAGTTCAGTTTTTGAACTAACTAAATTGAGCACAGTGTTAGTTCAGACAGGCCACAAAGTCAAGCTCTTCCCACTGTAAAACAGCTGATCTTAACACCAGCCAATATCAGATTCCCAAAACACAAAATGTAGAACTCTGGACTGAATATAAGATTATTTGTCAAGAATTATATTATCAGTTCTGAATAAAAGAAGACCCACCTGAAAATGTAATAAATTCCCAATAATGTAATAAGGTATTACATTATTGGGAAAATTGTATTATTGGGTTTTATTACACTTTCAATCAAGTTAAGTGCAAATTTTCGTACATTTTCAGTACATTATTACATTATGGTGTGCTACAGGGATTGTAGGTATTAATCAAGTAACTACCATGTTTACCTCCACATGCAGTGCATGGCACCAGATCAGCTGTTTGGGTTATTGGTAATCAGAGAAGACAGCATATCATGCACATGGAAATATGAAATAAAAAGCAACCATTAAAGATAGAAAAGAGAAATTAAACAGATTTTTTGTTCTCCAACTATGATCATACATTGATCATTTTATTGACTCTGTTTCAGCGATGATTAAAAAAAAAAAAAAAAAAAGGTTTTTATTTTAAAGTCATGTACAGGGCTGAAGTAACTTGAGCTTTTTTTTATTAAAGCCTTTGGTGAAATTTGGTTGGAAAAAAGTTATTATTATTCTTGTTATTATAATTGTTATCTAATACTCTCCTTGCATAGTCTCCTGTAAAGGACCAAGCAGAGGTAATTTTACAGAAAAGCAGGTTCTATTTTGCCCTCATCACATTTCCAGCTCCCTTTACATTCACCCTCCTCTTTGCTCTGCTGGTGGAAACAAAGCGTTATTTTGAACCAGATGGTTTCCTGATAAAAACCTGTGTAACACCAATGAGGATCCCTTGATAAGCAGAAAAGCAAACATAAACTGGAGTAATAATTCATTGAGTGAAATTATTTTACCAATCAAATAACATTAAATTATGTAAGATATAAAACCGTATGATCCACCCACCCCCCACCCCCTTATAATCATTAGTGTGTCTGAAACCCTTGAAGGTCAAACTGGTACTCATGGTCGCCCAACAGAAGGGTGTCATAAAGTGGGATGGTTCTGAGGTTATTTTGGCACAGTTACCAATCACTTCCTAGTAATGCTAATAATTCTCCTTAATGAACTGGACCCCTTGTTGAAAACCCAGCTCCAGTGGCCATTTTTCTTCTAGGATTGTCTGTTTCTACTAATGTTCTGGGGGTGTGGGTTAGCCTGGGGGCTTTTAATGTAGGAGGGCTCTTGTCCCTGCAAAAAAAGAAGGTTGGAACCACTGGGTTAGTTTCTCAACAAGTTTAACTGTGGTTAGCCTCCTCTCTGCGACACCCTCCATGTCTCCAACCTGCTCATGTTGTCTAAAAATGAACATCTTATTTACATTCCTCCATCCTGAGCGAGGAGCAGCAGAGGTGAGGCAATGGAGAGGATTCTAGCTGTCTGCATCCCTGTCCTCATTAGTGCAGAGCTGGTCTGTTTCCTTTCTCTCTCTCTCTCTCTCTCTCTCTCTCTCTCTCTCTCTCTCTCTCTCTCTCACACACACACACACACACACACACACACGCGCACACACACACACACACACACACACACACACACACACACACACACACACACACACACACACACACACACACACACACACACAGCTATCTCCAGCTCTAAACAGGCTGACAGTTTGAAGATAGGCCCACTGTGCCTAGCAGAACAGAGCAGAGGGCTGTGAGATGAGAAAAGCCCCTGAGTAAAGGAGAATGCAGGCGAACGCTTGTAATTGGGCCCTGAGTATCAGCTGCCAAATATCTCCTGTTAGTTCTCTGTGCTTTTCCCCCCTATTACTATGCTAATGCTATGCCATCCATGCATGCAAATGAGACAGGGTGCACTTGGCAGAGTTCCTGCCCTCAGCTGGTCCCTGTTGCAGGGAGAGCAGCACTCATCTCTCTCCTGCTGATCGCTGACACAAAAACACCCAACATACAAACATTACCTCTAACAGGTGAACTCTCTGTATCTGATATTTGTTACTAAGCTGTCAGTCACATGGTCTGTGCTGCTACAGAGCTGCATGTTGATGTTAACAGGCACACCACTCAGTGTGTGTTTACACATTGAAAGATACAGTTATGTTCATAATAATACCAGTGTGTTTAAAAAGGTGAGTTAACCTCAAAATTCTTCAAATAAAATGTATTTTAATTAACACAAATGCATTGGGGACACTGCACATTCTATTTCAAGGCAAGAAAATTGGAAAAAGTAATTAAATTTGATAACATTTTACAGAAAGACAACAAATGTAATGTTAAAAAAAATAGCAGTGTTGACATATTTCATTACAAACTCAAAAATGTACTGTATAAACTAAAAAATGCTTGAAGACTCAAGTTTCCTGAGAATCCTAAACTAATATTTAGTTGCATTACTACAGTTTCTAATTACTCCTCACATCTGTGGCACATGGAGTCGACCAACTTCTGGCACCGGTCTTGCAGCCCAGGACAATTGTACTATGTTCCACAATTCCTCTGCATTTCTTGGTTTTGCCTCATAAACAGCATTTTTTATGTCAGCCCACAAGTTTTCTATGGGATTAAGGTCCGGGGATTGTGCTGACCAGTCCATTACTTGAATTCTGTTTGTCAGGAACCATGATTTTGCTCACTTGCTGGTGTGTTTGGGGGTCTTGTCTTCTTGAAAAAAAACTTTCAAGGGCATTTCCTCTTCAGCATACAACAACATGACTTCTTCCAGTAATCTAATGTACTCAAACTGATCCATGATCCCTGGTATGCGATAAAAAGCGATACAAACACCATAGTAGGAGAAACATCCCCATGTCACAATGCTTGCACCACCATGCTTCACCGTCTTCACTGTGTACTGTGGCTTAGATTCAGTGTTTGTAGGACATCTGACAAACTGTCTGTGGTCCTTAGACCCCAAAAAAAACAATCTTACTCTCGTCAGTCCACAAAATATTACGCCATTTCTTTTTGGGCCAGTCAATGTGTTTTTTGGCAAATTGTAACTGCTTCAGCACATGTATTTTTTTTTTAAAAATGGGACTTTGCAGGGGTTTCTTGCTGGTAGCTTGGCTTCACATATGCATCGTCTGATTGTTACAGTACTCACAGGCAATCTTAGATCTTCTTTGATCCTCCTGGAGCTGATCACTGGGCTGAGCCTTTGCCATTTTGGTTATTCTCCGATCCATTTGAATAGTCATTTTTCTTTTTCTTCTGTGCCTTTTGGGTTTTGGCTGCTATTTTGAGGTGTTTGATATCATTTTAGCTGAACAGCCTATAATTTTCTGCACTTCTTTATAGGTTTTCCCCTCTGTTATTAATTTCTTAATCAAAAAACGCTCTTCTTCTAAACAGCATCTTGAATGACCCATTTTACTCTGTTTTTCAAGGACAAATGCACAGCCAGCATAAGCAATGTTAGTTGCCTTGATCCTTAAATAAGCGCCACCTGTTTACACCTATTTTTTTTCACATAATCAATGACCTTACTGTTTGAACTCAGCACTGCTATTTTTTTGGACACGCCCCTTTCAGTAAATGATTTAGTTTCACAGAATCAGCAGCATGCATGTCATGCCTGTTGGGTCAGTTGGTTTTCTATACCTTTACTAAACAGTCTAGAAACTTACTTGCAGTGTAGAAGTTGAAATTCTAACAAAAAACAGGGATTTATCTTGCTAGTGATGTGGGACTGCTATTATTTTGAACACAACTGTATTTTTGTATAATTAGGTAGTCTGTAATACACCAACAAAACTGTATAGAAATTACAACCCAACAGCTAATAACTCTGTTCCCAACATAAATAACCTTGCGAACTAGGCCCTCAGAAAACCCAACTCCATGAAAATAACCCAAATAAATTGACCAACAGGCTCAACCTAGTGGTTGGGTTGAAAAAACAACCCAGCATTTTTTGTGTGTAATCTGGCTGTGGTATGCATCATCCAGATTCCCTGCCTCACTCAACATCTCTGTTTTACCCACTTTCTATACTTTTCAGAGGACAAAAGCTGAATAGAAGTGCATCTCTGAAGTAAGCTCCCAGCTCTCATTGTTTTTTTTTTGTTTTTCATACATTTTCATACAACAAGGTCCCCATCTAAAATTCACATAAAATAAAATTCCTGAAAACGTCCCAAAGTTTCCCTCAAATGAACATATTTTATCCTCCTGGTCTACCTGTAAAAGAACCACAAGGAGCCTGGGTGAAATCCTGTGAAAACACAGGAGGAATGTTTTCAAGAAATAACTGCAATCAATCAGACAGGAGTGACAATGTTTGCTTTATGCAACTCGTGCAAACCGAGACAAGCGACACAGTACAGGGTGAGTGAAAACAGAGGATGCTGAAGGAGAAGATTGCACATCAAGTGATAGAAAACTGCCATCATAGTGCAGGTTTCTGTTGCTCTGTCCACCATCATAACATGTACATTTACCCTCCAGCATACAAGTCCTGTTTTTGCTCTACTATGAACCTCGGTCATTTCATGCACAGACACCACTTTCACCCAATCTTTCCAAACTTTCCAGTCTAAATAAGCCATCTTCTTTTTTGTACGCGAATGTTGCAATCACTTTTTTTTGGTTCCTGCCAAAGAAAACTCAGATAAGTTGAGGACTTTAAGTTGTGGTCTGTTTTCTCTTATACAGTTTTGCACAAAGTTGTTTGAACTAAGTTTTTTTTTTAACTACAAGGGTAGAAATCCTGCTCAGCCATACTGCAGATGCAGAAATGTGATCAGCTGTTCCATTGTTAACCCCCAGAGCGCTTTATTGTCCTTATGGTGACAAGGGTGTTGTGTCTTTGTTGCTCATCCTTATGTTTCACAGACTTATAGTGGCTCCTTAAAAGCAGGGATGTAGTTACCCATCATGTCTCTGGTGTAAAATTCAATCTGTATACACCCTTAGGATGAGCCAGAAGTCTTTGTCTGTGTGTGTGTGTGTGTGTGTGTGTGTGTGTGTGTGTGTGTGTGTGTGTGTGTGTGTGTGTTCGCGCGCGCACACACAATCAAGGCCAGGTGGTGGAACTAAGCAGGGAGAAGGTTGGGCCCTCTGCTGTCTGAGGCTCTCTTGTCTTAAGTAAATTATGACATGATGTGTTGACAGAGCAAACAAAGGTACAGAGACGTTCCCATGGTGTAGGATGCCTGACCTCCAGGGTGAACACACTTCAGTGTGTGTTCCTATGCTGACATGCCACAGCTAATTGCTAGTTAGCCACATAAAGATCACATAATGAAAGTACAGGCTGTTTACTTTGGCTCCATGTTGCAGTGCATCTTATAATTTGCCCTCCTAAATACATGTTGTATATGTTTTGTGATGTGACTGACAGTTACAGAATGATAATGAGTCAAGCAGAGAGTTAACTGTTTCTGAATGAAGATGTTTTGCAGTCCCATGTTGGTCACTGTGAGTTAGTATGCTTGTCCTCTCCCTTTTTCTGGGTTACAGTGACTACAGTGAATAAGAGTGAAATAATTAAGATTCATATAAAACATTTTTGCCCGTCTAAAAGGCTGTCTGTCATATCATGAGAGTAATGAGTGCAAGTATTTCTGCATTCAAATTCAAATAGCTCTAAATCTCTGGCAGACCCAAACAGCAGGTTCAGACAGAGTGAGATTTCCTACGTCACAACTCCAAGCTCCGCCCGGAACTCTGCTATGCAGGCAAGACTCGGAGAAGTAGAGGGGACAATCGTGGAACAAGCGTTTGTGTTAGCGGATTGCAATGCCCGTAAGAAAGCTACCTATGATACAAACTATCATCATGCCCCCAAAGACATTAGTGTCACAGAGCTGAATAGCTCCGATGTTAACTGCCACTTCTGCTGCATCAGCAATGTTAGGCTACAAGCTAGCATGAAGAGGAGTGTGCAGAATAGCGCTGTCTCCGCCCATGACTCAGAGTTGAATTGCTAATAAGCTACTGGAGCTCTGCAGAAGAAAAGCCCTTGGAAATGACACAGGTTATGTGATTTTGGCTAGAACCTTCATAATCACAGTTTAAAGACCACTGATAACACTTAAAGTCGTAAAATAAACAGATTGGAGTGGGACTTTAATACTAGGTGACCAGTCTACTAACAGCTTTTCTCACTCAGGTGATAATGGTGCATTTAAAGAAAACAGAGGAAGACTATAAAAGGGCATATTCTGTATTATTAACCTGGGCCCATTTTCTTTTGTGTTTGTGTGACAGATGGGGAAAACAGTATATGGAACTGGTCCAGTATTCAGAGAGAGCTGTAACTGAACAAATTTAAACTGCATCCAAATGCTGCAAGACCTTTGACAAGCTCAGACTGTTACTGCAAATCCTGAAAACAGCCAAAAGTTTCCCTTTACTTTCACTCATGCAGAGGACACACGAGTCAAAGACACCAGAGGCCTGTACTATGAAGCTGAATTAACACCCAGGATAACTCTGCCACAATTCGCTCAACTTTATTGGATCTCCGTAATCCTCATAAGCTCTACTAAGAGGCACAATATCAACTCGACAACTGTATCCAGTTGTGGCCAGTCTAGATCTGTGCGCGCACATGTAAAGGGGGCAGGGTCAGTGCCACCGGACCAATCTCCACAATGGAGAATATTTCATATTTCATATTTCACAGCCGAGGAACAGAGCAATATTTTACACAAATACAAGGAATAGCATGACATAATAACGGCGAGGAGTAAGACTGCCACAGTCGCTGGAAGCCGGAGGGACTGCTGGCAAAAAAAATCGCTGATTGTGTAAATTACATTTGTTTGTTCATAAATTTATGGCCCCCTAATATGTTGTCATGCAGTGTGGGTGATCACCATCATCATTGACCCTCTTATTTCAGATGCAACATCAGTGGGGAAAAAGGACGTGGGAACAAATCAAAATAAATATAAAAACACACTTCAAAGGGGTTAGTAGGTTTATTGGAAAATTTTATTTGTACATATTTCAACATGTAAACAGTGATTTCCTCACACTGCCTTGGTGAGAACCTTTTTTCTTTTTTCTCCATCATCCGATTTTCACATGTCATCTGCAGACATAATCAGAGTTAGGAGGAGTTCAGTCAGGATCACTTTGTCAAAATTCAGCTTTATTGTGCAAAGTTAAATTTGGCAGCTGAGATCTGCTCTGGGTCCCTGCCCTTCAACACAAGCATGTGGAAGCCAGAGGCAGGAAGAGCCCATTCCTGCCCTTCACGAGCCATCATGGAAAGGCGATAGCAGGGAGCACATGCAAGGTTCTGTTTGGGGCCCCCCGTTCTCCACGCAAGCATGCATGAAAGCCCAGCGGCAGGAATAGCACCTTTCTGCCCTTCATGAGGCATCATGAAGGCAGCAACAACGGGGGGTGGAGCAGTAATGAACAGAACCCCCCAGAACAGGAGCGCTTGAAGAGTTGTGGAGCACTTTAGCCAAGGGGGGAGCTGGGGTGGAGATGGGTTGCTGGTTGCCTGTCAAAGCAGAGGAAGAGCCTGGGTTAGGGCAGTTTTAAATAGGGTGCTCTAAAGGCATAGGACCAATAGGAGCTAAAAGGAAATCAGCTCAACCAGCTGATGGGCCATCAGCTGGTTGAGGTGGCTACCTTTCATTGGCTGCGGATTAATGCTTGATGTCGTGACCTGCCAGAACTAACGCTATGCTTCATTTCAGTCAGGATCACTTTGTCAAAATTCAGCTTTTTTGTGCAAAGTTAAATTTGGCGGCATAGTTCTGTTCTAGGTCCCTGCCCTTCCACGTGCTTGCATGGAAGCCAGAGGCAGGAAGAGCCCCTTTCTGCCTACCAATTGCATTGAATCACCTTTGGGGGGCCCAGCTCGCAAAAGGTTGAGAACCCCTGATTTAATCCACACACATATTTATAATTGGGAATATGCTTAAGAATACAATAGATATGGGACAGAATTATGGAGCAGCAGCATTTTTTAAGCACTTGTAGCTAATTGAGCACAGGAATCTTCTTTAGCCTCTGGCCTGAGGTATCCATCAAAGGCTGATGAGGACCATCAACCCGTAGCCTTGAGTGTCAAGGCAGGGACAATGGAAGATGCAGTTGTAGCTGCACCTATGGGTAGTAATTGCGTAAAGTTGCACTTGGGTGGGAGCCAGCAGGATTGGCAGAGCAGGCAGAGGTGGGCAGAAAACCAAGACCTGGATATAGGTTTCCCTTCTTCGGTGGCAAAGAGAGGCTCTTGCTGGCTGGCCAGTGGCCAGCCTCCCAGGCAGTGGGACATGGAGAATAAAGAACAAAGACAGAGTTAGTTTGAGAAATAAAAAGGTGTGAGACTCAAACCAGTGAACTATTAAAGCTCATACAATAGATATATTTATGGGCATTGGAGCTACAGAGAAGGTGGTACAAAAGAGGTAAAGTAAGACCATGAAGAATCATATTAACTTAAATGCTGACTTAACTTAACCAGCTCTGATATTGCTGGCAGCAGAGAGCACATAAGTTTGCAATGCTGCACTCAGACTAACACAGTCTGAATGAATGGCTTCATGAACAGCGGTTGGGATGCTTTGCCAGTGCCTTCCCCAGCTCAGGGACATTTGACAGAGTAGACAGCTTTATTCTCTTTCCTTTTTACAAGGAGGTGTGTCTTAAGCATGCTGATTTCAGATGCCTGTCCCTGAAGTAACTTGGCTTCTCTGAGTAGTAGGCTTAGAAGAGGCTTGGGTGGTTGGCCTGTAGCCACAGTTTTAGGACACAGGTTGGAGGTATGAGCAGGGGTGAAAGTAGGATGAGGTTCTTGCAGGTACTTTGTACAAGAGGAGCACATCCAAGTTTAGCTAGGTGCTTACTCTGTCAATCAATTTTTCTCTGCATTTTGTTTTATTTCTGCATTGAAATTGAAGCAGCTGACTCTTTAAAAGTTCCCTCCTTATGCAAAAGGCGGGAGGCAGGCCCTAGCACCCAGGCAACCAGCGTCCAATCAAAAGTGCGCATTGAGCGCTCCCACTTTTGGAATTTGTTTGGAAGCAAATACGACTCACTCTCAAGCAGCATGGTCCTATTGGATTACTACGGTACCATTGCAGAGTGTAGACTGACGAGCGGCAACACACTAAGCCTACATACATGACGGGGTGAAAATTTTAAACTGCTGATTATGTATTTCTGGAATGGTGTTACCGCTGAATACTGGCTTACTGGCTTACTTTCACCTCTGGGTGTGAGAGAAAGACCCGCAGATTGAGCAGGAAAAAGTTTGATGCCCGGTGAAATGTCTACTGATTAGAGCCAGGTCGACTACAGACTAATTAAGTCTTTGGTTGAATCTTTGAATGTACATAGCAGCTTTGCTGAAAATGATTTGTGATGTTAGAATAATATTCCTTCATAAGTCATGGCGAAATCAGAAATGATGGCGAGATATTGTCCAGTTCAGTTCTGCGTGCTGAAAACACTTCACATAACACATCTCTAAATGCTGAAAGCTAAAGGAATTCAGCTAAGGTCGGAGATTTAAACAGCTGGGGATTATTATCATTAAGCATCACAGACAGTCTCACATGATGTAGACCTAATTAGGATCAGAATATTAGGATTCCGCGACTGAAATATGGTACAAGAAAGCCAGTGAGTAAGTCCATGGGTCCAAATTTGGATTCTGCATAGTGGAAAATGTATGATTTGACACCAAGTTCATCCAAATAGGACAAGTCTATGGGATTTTATTGCAAAATGCAATATTACTGTATTTTCAATGATGGCCATCTTGAAAAATGGCCGCCATCTTGAATTTTCATTTGGCCAGACGGAAATATCAAAAGAGCAACTTCTAAGGAGTATGTGTGCCAATTTTGGTGCTTTTATCCACAAGTGAACGATTATTACAGTTATCTGCCCAGCTATTATTAAAGACACTTTTTCTTTTTCAGTTCTTGCCCCAGCAGCCCTCTGGAAATTACTGCGGCATCTTCATGCTGATGGTGAGCATTTTTTTGTCCTTGCTTGATTAAAATGTCTCGGCATGTTAAAATTTTATTTTTATTTTACAGTATGCTCTCTGCATCTGCACCTCATCTCCACTGACATTCACAGAGGTACGCTGTTTAAGAATGTAACACCAAAATACCAATACCAGTGTCCATTTTTTTAATTGAATTTATTGAAATGCCAGCAATTCAACAGTGGTGGTGTATTCAGCTGATGGAGAGATTCTGCACAGAAGGGTATAGCTGCTACTAAAGACAAACTGGTACTAACATGGTCCAACTTGGTATTATTTGCACTTTTGGCTCAGGCAGGCTAAATGTCAGGTCAGACTGAACAGAGCAGTAGTATACAAGTAAAGTTCATAAACACAGACATTACTTTTTAAAGGCATGGACAAGGATTTGCCTTCTGGACCGAGAAAGCATCCCTTCTCCTCCAAGGAGCTCTCCAGACTGTCTTCAGAGTGCCAAAGGCAACCTCCTCCAAGCCTTTGCCAAGTCCAATGAGACAGGTGGAAGAGGACTGCAATGAGGTAACCATTTGTAGAATTTAACCGCACAATGTTGATGATGGGACTGTTCATCACTATATAAGTTACTTACATGGTTATAATGTTCATCTCCATGTAATGTGATAATTGTGTTTTTCTTTAAAGGTTGAGGCTGAGGCTGACAGGTGCTTCTTAGTGGAGGTAATCTTTTTATTTATCTCTTTCTTTAAATTGTGGACAAAACAGACTGAGTAGTTACAGTCACAGGCAGCTCCTTCAGGGCAGAGGGAGGCACTATTGTGTAGTGAGTGAATTAATTGTCATGAAAAACACTATGCAGTATATTTTCCATTGTCAGTGTGTTTATTTCTGCAACCTAATTTACAAATTTTGTATTTTTATCGTCATCGACTCATCTATATTTTACAGTTGCCTGCGTGCATCTTGGTGGACATATTAGAAGAAGTTGTACTCCATGAAGGTGGTGGAGCAATCTTCAAACTGGCTCTGGTGTGCTCCACATTCAGAGACATTGTGTGCACTGAGTATTTCAGAGGGCATGCACACTTTAAGTGGCTTCACAGTAAGCGCTTCATTAAATGATGCAATGATACATACAATTACTTGTTGCTGTTGTCATGTTTTTCACTGGCTAGTTGTATCTGTTTTTTTTTTTTTTTAACTTTTTTTCCCTTTCCACAGGTGTTTGCACATGGAGCAGAGTCTCTGCCAACTTCAGAGAGGAGTTCTGGAATATGTACACCATTGAGATCAGCCAAAAGTGTGGAGAGCAATATAAACAATGGCCATGAGGTATGCTATACTGTATAATGTTATATTGGTGTCATTACAGACACTAGAAAATACTAACAATGCACAGACATCATGAAACCATATTGCTTAGAGGCCATTCTTCTATCTGTTTGATCTCTTGTTTTACAGGATATGTTGGCAGAGGGAAAAGGGGAGAAGTCATAGCATTTTACTCAGAGGAGATGCACCCAGGATACTGCTGCCACTTTTGCAGCCAAATGCGATGAGATTTTAAAAAATCTGTTAATACTGTAGCGTGTGATGTTGCTGTTTGCTTGTGGTTTATAGAAAAAGAAACATCTAGTTCTGATTTGTGGATGTAGAAATCTCATTTATTGCATTAATCAATTGTTGCACTTGTTATGTGTGTCAGGTTCAAAAACATATCAGGGATTTGTTAGGTCTAGGACATATCAAACCCCACCAAAACAAGAAAAGTGAAGTCACAAACTCAGACCAGACCGCAATTGCCTTTCTTGTGCACAAGGGAGAGAGCAGGCTGAGGAGAACTTCCCGTGTCTCAGTCAGACTCTCTTCTTAGAGATGCTCTTCCCCGTTGTGGAAAAATAGTGAGACATGAGATACATTCTTTGTAGGCTTAATTTCTTCAAGTGATTAAACGATACATTTCAATAAATGAGAATTTTAACAGTAATTTTCCAACAATGTGTTACTGTTTTTTCTGCTTTTCTGTATCGGTATACTGTCTATCTCCCAGAGTTCTTAGCTGGTGGGCACTTCCTGTGTGATGTGTCAACCTGTTTTGTACATAAATAAATCCCCTTTTATTTTTTGCATTCAGTCCTGTGTCATGTCCTCAGCACATTGCAATTTTGAGCTGATCATAACACATTACATGTATTGATAGATAGGTAGGTAGGTAGGTGAGTAGATAGATAGATAGATCACACACACTACATGAAATCTTCTGGAAGTGTGTGGCTGCCCTTGGTTCCCCATGGGCAGCCACACACCTACAGAGCATCCCCCCTCAATACTTCGAAAATCAGAGAACCAGGATTTTGGCCGACTGGTGGCGCTCTCCAAGGCCAGGGGAGGATGCACCATGTGCATCCACAAACCTTCAGAGCAACCCCCCTTAATACTTCAAAAAGTCAAAGAACCAGGATTTTGGCAGGGTGGTGGTGCTCTCTGAGTCCGGTGGAGGGTTTACTATGTGCGGCCACACACCTCCAGAGCATCCCCCTTTGATACTTTGAAAATCGGGGAACCAGGATTTTGGCCGTGTGATGGCACTCTCTGAGGCCGGGGGAGGGTGCACCATGTGCAGCCACACACCTCCAGAGCATCGCCCCTCGATACTTTAAAAAATCAGAGAACCAGGATTTTGGCCAACTGGTGGCGCTCTCTGAGGCCGGGGGAGGGTGCACTATGTATTCTATTTGCACATGCGCAGTACGGATCGGGTAGGTAGCATGGGTAGCGCAACCCGCAGACTTCACAGACTGCCGTAAAATGCATTGAAATATGAGGAGAGGAAGTGACATCAGTTTCACACATCTGCAATACAAATCGTGCTTCCGGGACAGATCGGGTAGCCACAACATCATTGAAAATCTGTGGATCGTGCCTAAAAGAGCTGTGCATTCAAGACGACCCAAGAATATTGCAGAACTGGAAGCCTTTTGCTAGGAAGAATGGGGGGAAATCCCAAAGGATAGAATCCAGAGACTTGTAGTTGGCTATAAAAAGCGTTTACAAGCTGTGATATCCGCCAGAGGGGGTCTTACAAAGTACTAAAGGTACTGATGCTGAAGGGTGCCCTGACATTTGCACATGCCAAAAAGATGATTTTTATTTTTGTAATTTTTCTAAAATGAAAAGTAACTGTGCATTAATGATTTCTGATAATATTGTCTTTTTTCCTATTTACCAGAGAGACTATAAATATCAAGGTAATTTTTTTAATAAATAAACTATGCTTTTTTTAAAGGGGTGTCCTGGCTTTCACTCACAACTGTATGTTCACAGGATCCAGCAAAAGTGGGCAAGCCATTTTCCACAGATCAGATTGTTCAGTGGGCGGTCTTTTATACCTGCTGAGATCTTATCCTGAAACATAACCTGCTTCGCTTAAATTACTGGGGCAACTGACCCGGATAGAATGAAATCCACCTTTGTCTTACGGAAAACCCAGAAGTTATCCAGAAATTATATCGGTAAGATTAAATCCAGCTTCATAGTGCAGGCCTCCAGAGAGTCATCTTGTTATGCTACCATAACACACATCCCTGAGTTGATCCCTGAATTGTACCTGAATTGAGTGATTATTAGATTTGGAGAGTTGGCCTTCCCACTGGGTGAAGCCACCCTGAGAACAGCATACTCTGGTGACAGGCTGCAGTATAGGTCATAAATCCTGCCTCCTCCAGCCATCCTTATGTAGCTGTGGACAAACTTTTGAAATTTATTACACAGAATATAATTTTTTCTACCCCCTGCTTGCGATGGTTATAATTAGTTATCGTGGTTAGTGCTTAAGTCCTCTTTATTCTGTACAGCTCCATTTTTTTGAAATTATTAGGGGGTTCATGTTTTCAATAATTGACACTTGATACAGCCTATGAGCGTACGAAGATTGCGTAGCTCACCTGGGGGATAAGCTGTTTGTGCCGAGCGTCATCATAGTGACTCTCAGCAACTCTCCCGCCAAATGAATACAATGCTACTGCGCAAAGTTGGTTTCAACATTGTTTCAACAATGTTGTGGAACTAAGTTGTCCATAGTGTATACAGTCTATGATAACACCCTTTGTCACAGTTAGTGGGAGAAAGTAAACAGCACAGCAAAAATGTCATTTACTGTTTTCAAATATACAACCGTCATTTTTACTCTACAGAAGACATAACCCTGATTTTGGGGTCTTTTCAGCTCCCCTTTTAGCATCAATATGCATCAAAATGAGGCTTCAGGGAGCTTGATAAGACTAACCTTTGGTTCATGGTGCATCTGCTATTTAAAGGGAGAAGCTTTTTCTGCTTAGCATACACAGAGAATATATTGAATTGTCAATAGGAAAGGGAGACAGCAAACATTCAATCCCCCTGTCTTCAGATATCATTAAGAGAAGTTTTTTTAAGCATCATGCTGCTGATCTGGAGGAGCCATGAGACAGGTACACACTTAACACCATGGGCTCTATTTTCGTGCCTCGCCGGCGACGCGGCGCATGCGTGGCGTAAGTGAGGTCCACCGGCGGCGTAAGTGAGGTCCACCGGCACACCAGGCACAATTTGGTATTTTGGTGAGCAGTGCAGCCCGGCGTAAGTATCCCCCCTCCCTAACTCAGCTCCTCCCAGCGGCGTAAGTCATAGCGAGGGAGGAGAGAGGGCATGGAGTGGATTTAACACAGCCAAGACCTGTTTTCACCAATCACATAAGCTCCTCTCCTTGCCTTTAAATCCCCCAAGGTGTATTACTATTTTTGTGAAGTAGTCAAAGAGATCAAGAGATGTCTGAAGACAGTAATGCCACACGATGGCGACAAAAGGCAGCCCCTCAACAAGTGTCACTGTAAACGCTACATTGGGCGTCCTCCACACTCTCTCATATAAGCACAGATGGATTTGGTGTGTGTAAGTTTGGACCCACTGGTAAGACAAACACCTTTTTCCACAAATAAAGACAATCCCATAAAGTTGCACATATTAAAACCTCACGTGACAAAGGTGGGTTGTGCGCACAGATCACATCATAAATACCAAAAATGGCATTAAAATCTGAACCATCTGTGCGTAATGATGCATTGCGCTCCGTGGCCTGGCTCTTTCTTTCATAGATGTTGGCATATAAAATAAATTTGGCTCACAAAACTGAATATCATAATATTCATATGTAGGCTTAAAGTAAATAACTCATCTGATCACTGAAACAAATCATCTGTTCAGCCGCAGCAGCAGCAGGACTGAGAGAGGACACGGAGACATGTCCAGGTCGAGATGCGCGAGAAATAAGAGGAAGAGGAAGAAAGAAAAGGAGGGAGACGAATTACATATCTTGTTCACTTCATCATGTGTGTCTATTTACTAGATATTTAATTTAATTTAATGCGGTTTCAGCTGTGTTAATTTGGTCAGGTTATGTGTCCAAACGCGTGCCAAACGCGCTCATCAAATCAGACATAGATCAGAATATATCTATATAGATCTAAATGTATGTGCTGACTCAGATTAATAGTTGTTGATGATTATTTATTGCACTGAAATGTGCCTGACACTGTGGAAACCTGCCGTTGAGGCAGCGGTGACATATGCCGATACACCGCTGGTCTACCAAAATACCACTAGACCAGCTGCGCTCTGCCTGCGCTGAAAGCTGACCAGGTTTGAATCGTCGAGCTTTCAGCGCACTTTATACGCCGGTGGCGAGCACGAAAATGTCACTGCGGCAGCTGATTCTGTTGACACCTCCCTCTGCCACGCCACCACGCCCAGCTTGGCGGACCTCGGTGCACCTTGGTCCACGAAAATACCAAACCGGCTGTACGCCGGTTCCGCCGAACAAAAATACAACTGCGCGGGGTCTGCCACCTCACCAGCGTACACAAAAATAGAGCCCCATCTCTTCACTCCTCTAATTTACCTAAAGGAGGATGAATCCTGCAAAGACATCACAGGAAGAAAAGAGACCAAGGGTAGTCCGTCTCAGCTGCACTCTCTTATTCAAACATACAAACACTGGCTGTAAGGGGTACATTTAATTATATTTCATATGCCACACGTCCACTAATACCACTGACAATCACAGGTACTATCCAGCTTCTTTTATTCATGCAGTAGAAAAGACAGCAGCAGGGTATGCCATTAAGCAGTAAAAACAAGTAAACACATGTTCACAGCCTCCTTCTGCACAATGTTGAGCACACAGAGTGTTATTCAACATTAGATCCTGGTCAGTAATCAAAGACGTTATGCTGCTGTGCCTCGAGCATAAATGTTCCCAGTGTCTCTCTTCATTTGGAGTAGTCTGCATAAGTGTGTGTGTGTGTGTGTGTGTGTGTGTGTGTGTGTGTGTACGCACGTGCGTGCATGCATGCATGAGTATTATACTGAGAACGAAAGTGTTAAGTAGCTCTAGTCCAGGGGTTCTCAATCTTTTGCGAGCTGGGCCCCCCCAATGGTGGTTCAATGCAGTCGAGTCCCCAAGATCAAAGTCTAGGGACCCTATCCCATCATATCCATAGAAATCTGTGGAGAACCTCAATCATAAAGGCTTTCTCATCTTGCTCAAGTTGTTGATGAGCCATCTCACTGTGTCAGAGTGGGGTTTCCATTTTTCTGCTCTCTCAGGTAACAAATCCACTGTAGGTGAATCTAATAGGCCTTCATTGTTGCATCAATTGGAGCAAGTTAATCAGATGCACACTGCAGCCACTCAAAACACACTCAAATACTCATTCTTTCTTGGTGTCATTTTAAAAATAACTGTTCTTTTTGCAGGGTTGAATGACTGCACAGGCTCTATCTGACATAACCACAGAAAAAACAGAAGTAGAAGAAAATTTACGTACGTGCATTCATGATTTAACCCAACCATACAGAGGATGCTTCCGCACACAAAGGCCCTCATATATCAAATGAATGTACAGCAGAAAACTGTCTGTACGACCATTACCATGCAAGGATCAGCATTTATCAGTTTGGATCAAATCTCACGGCAGGTTTCACATCGTGTCTGTCCCAAAATAATTAAAGGGGACCTGCCACCAAAATTTCAGACCCATTTTTATCATTTTTTCACAATCCTTGATGTCCTCTGATCATGTTTGCAACATAATTTTAGCTGAAAAGTTATTTGATGGTTTGTTTTAGTATGCCTAAATTGTCATCAATTTTTGATCACCTTAAGCATGGCCACAACTGTGGCCAAAAATTTCTCTTTGTCTCTCCAAGAACTCTGCCATGATGGCTGGTCTTGGTCCAGCAGATGGAACACTCTCCCTGGCCGCTGTGTCGCTGGTGCCTGGCTCTAAGATCATTGGAACAATAAAAAAATACACCTGTGTGAAATTTGTGAGTCTAATTATTTCTTATAGACAATACAATCACTCCTTAAATCGACTGTCAGATTTTACAAGACAAGCAAAATGAGGGCTGATTGTTACAATTCTGCTCCAGCTCCGGTGAAAGTACGTCAGTGTCTCCTCCACCACTGCTAACTCCAGTGATGGACTCTGATCTGATCGCCAATAGACAGGGTCAGGCTGGGGTCTGGTTGACAGCCTCCAATCTACGTGCTGCTGTGCCTTGGGGTAGCAACACACCGTTTAGTGACATTAATAATTATTTTTGTTAAGCCTCTGTTGGACTCTCCAGTCCGCTCTACATTATAAAGAAGCATCAAATTAAAACTAAATACTTTAAATAAAAGGAGCAACGTAGCCTATGTCATGGCAATGAAAATATTTGAGGCATGTATGAGATATTAATTTATCATCATGGGCAACTTATTGAGTCATGATCTATTCAAACTTCAGCCACTGTCCACTATTCTATGGCAGCGCTGCTCACCACTATCGTTCTCCTGCTCCAGACAGGGTTTTCCTAAACTCCTTTTATACCAGTTTTGATGCTTCCAAAGATCTCATCTTTGTTAGTCTCCACCACAGATGTGAAGATATCCACTTTGAGCTCAGAAAAGTTTTGTGTTTTTTTTAGGGATGAATTCTCTGTTTGTGTCTAAATGAAGGATGCGTATGATGGTTAATGTCTCTGTTTTTAAAAATGAGAAATGAGGGCCAACCAAAAATGAGAAATGAGGGCCAACAAGAGCAGAGAGAGAGAGAGAGAGAGAGAGAGAGAGAGAGAGAGAGAGAGAGAGAGAGAGTGTGAGTGTGTGTGTGTGTGTGTGTGTGTGTGTGTGTGTGTGTGTGTGTGTGTGTGTGTGTGTGTGTGTGTGTGTGTGTGTGTGTGAAGAAGGGGACTCTGATATCTGGCTCATTTGAAGTGTTGATAGGCGAACAGCCACATAAAGCCGAGTTAATAAGCAATTTAGAGCTTTAAACCCAGTCCGTGATGAAAGTTTAATGATATCAACACAAATTTGCTGTCACATAATCTCCCCTTTTAATCATTTCCCACTGTCAGCACAGGCCTGACAGAAAAACAGGCCTAATCCACCTGATTGACACCATCCACTAAAGAGGCTGGGATAGGGATGGGAGGATATGTCAGGCAATTAATTAAGAGCTTTTTTTTCCTTTTCAAGTTTTTATCTGGAATGCAGATCGGCCTAGCCACAGTCAGGAAACATGCAGGCGGTGTGGGTGTGTTACAGAGGTCAGTCAGTGGGCACTTGTGTAATCGGATAATACAATATATGGCTGTAAACTGGAGCCACACATGACCAGAGTTAACATTTACCCTGAGAGATGTAAAACCACAGAGCTCAGAGGAATGCTTCATGTTTCTACATAAATCTGGAGAAAGAATCACTGGCAGCACTCAGTATACGCAGCTGTACTATGAATATGACAGAGCTTGTTTTACAGCTTTCTATAAGTCTGAGTGTGAACATAATGAGGTGAGCTAATGGCTGAGAACAGGCCCGTACTGTGAATATTTTCCTCTTTCTTTTGACCTGACTGCCTGAAAAAAAAAAAACAACAACATTTAAACGCTGTCTTCCAATTATTTCCATCTAGTTCTGTTATTGTTGTTAAAGGTACATTATGTAGAATTTAGCAGTATTTCTTCCAAAACAAAAGGAACATATAATGCAGAAGTTAAGTTTCTAACTATTATGATATACATTGAACAAAAATATAAACGCAACACTTTTTTTTTTGCTCCCATTTTTCATGAGCTGAACTCAAAGACTAAGACTTTTCTTATGTACATACAGTAGAAGACCTGTTTCTCTCAAATATTGTTGACAACTTTGTCTAAATCTGGGTTAGTGAACACTTCTCCTTTGCTGAGATAATCCATTCACCTCACAGATGTGGCATATCAAGATGCTGTTTAGACAGCATGATTATTGTACAGGTGTGCCTTAGACTGGCCACAATAAAAGGCCACTCTAAAAGGTGCAGTTTTATCACACAGCACAATGCCACAGATGTAACAAGTTTTGAGGGAGCGTGCGATTGGCATGCTGACTACAGGAATGTCCACCAGAGCTGTTGCCCATGAACTGAATGTTTATTTCTTCACCATAAGCCATCTCCAAAGGCGTTTCAGAGAATTTGACAGTACATTCAACCGGCCTCACAACCGCAGACCATGTGGAACCACACCAGCCCAGGATCTTCACATCCAGCATCTTCACCTCCAAGATTGTCTAAAACCAGCCACCCAGACAGCTGCTGTAACAATGGCTTTGTATAACCAAACAAATTCTGCACAAACTGTCAGAAACCGTCTCAGGGAAGCTCATCTGCATGCTTGAGTGGGCAAATGCTCACGTACCATGGCGTCTGTCACTTTGGAGAGTTCTCTTCTTAGATGAATCTCGGTTTTAACTGTACAGGGCAGATGGTAGACAGCGTGTTTGGTGTTGTGTGGGTGAGCAGTTTGCTAATGTCAATGCTGTGAATCGAGTGGCCCATGGTGGCAATGGGGTTATGGTGTGGGCAGGCATATGTTATGGACACAGTTGCATTTTATTAATGGCATTTTGAAGGCACAGAGATACAGTGACGAGATCTTGGGGCCCATTGTTGTGCCATTCATCCATGACCATCATCTTATGCTGCAGCATGATAATGCACGGCCCCATGTTGCAAAGATCTGTACACAATTCCTTGAAGCTGAAAACATCCCAGTTCTTCCATGGCCAGCATACTCACTGGACATGTCACTCATTGAGCATGTTTGGGATGCTCTGGATTGGCGTATTTGACAGCGCATTCCAGTTCCTGCCAATGCCCAGAAACTTGGCATTGAAGAGGAGTTGACCAACATTCCACAGGCTACAATCAACAACCTGATCAACTCTATGTGAAGGAGATGTGTTTCACTGCGTGAGACAAATAGTGGTCACACTCCCAATACAGAAAAACTGCCCCTTCAGAGTGGCCTTTTAATGTGGCCATTCTAAGGCACACCTGTGCAATAATCATGCTGTCTAATCAGCATCTTGATATGGCACACCTGTGTGTTGGATGGATTATCTCAGCAAAGGAGAAGTGTTCACAAACACAGATTTAGACAAATATGTCAATAATGTTTCAGAGAAATAAGTCGTTTGTGTACACAGGAAAAGTCTTAGATCTTTGAGTTCAGCTCATGAAAAATCAGCGCAAAATCAAAAGTGTTGCGTTTATATTTCTTTACAGTGTACAATATCATGATCGTTCCATCTCTGATGACTCAGAAAAAGTCTTTTTATATTAGAAGAAGTCCATGCTCAGAAGGGTGACCTGTTTCACATGTTGCACAAACTAAAAACATTCTTTTTTTCTTTGTTGAGCAGCTGAACAAGCACTGGGAGGACAGAGTAAGACCAGATGTCATTGTCCACAAACGAACTGTTGTTCATAAAAACTTGACCAATGGAGGATCAGATTTATCATGAACCACAGGAACGTGAATCTGAGTTTATGTCCAAAAATAAAATCATAAAAATGGAAAGCGAGATCAGGTGATAGTAGAAAATCAGGATTAACACATGTGTTTCCTTTCATAGATGAAAACCCTAAAGACACATTCATGTTTGAAGTTGTCATTTTAAAAGGTTTATTCCATCAAAGGTTCATTAGTTTACAGAAACATGAAGCTGAATGATCTCAGTTAGAGCGGCTGTCAGAGATCCTGATAATGTTTTCTCAGGATGATCAGAGTCGACTATGAGGAGACGTCCTGATAATAACTCATTAATTTCTTTGTTTTTATTGATTTATCTATCTCTCCTCCTCTTTTTCTATTTCCATGTAAGTTTGTAGTTTGTCATTCTGTGTTACCATAGAAATACCACCCACCTTGACCAGCAACCTTGTGGTGAGACGCCTCTTCTTCCTGTTTTATTTTGGTTTAACTTCCCGTTTTCCTTGTGTTCCTGGTCTGGCTTGACTGTTGTTTCAGTGCACCTCCCCCTCCCCGGTCGCTGAGGCTGAGTGAGATTCCACACCTGCACTGCATCTACAAGATCCAAGGCCCTTTAAGAAGTCAGCAGCCCTCAGTCTTAGCGCCTGAGTATTGTCTTTACTCCTGAGTGGTACAGACGCTTCTCCTGGCCTTCTCCTTTAATAATTACTCGTGACTTTTTGCTCCCTGTGATTCTTTGTATGTCTTCTCACCTCCTTCTCCTCTGTTTCTCCACAGTGTCTCCAGCACAACAGCCAGCCAGCAAACCGGACTTTCTCTTGTGCCTTTTTTTCCCTGAGTTGGACATTAAATACATCTTTAATTTGCTATCTGCCACTGTGTCTGCTCCTGGGTCCACAAGATACACCACACGCCACAAACCTGCTCCTATGTAGGGTTAAAATTTTAAGTGAATAAAACCAGAACCTAGGATATATTCAGATGATCTTACTTAAAACAGACTGATGAATATGATGAGGTCCTTTGTAGTGTTAAATAGTGTTTCTTAAGTTAATATGAATTATTAATCATACCTTTGTAAGGTTTTATGCTTACTGCTTATAACATTTCATAAACTTAAGCTGATACGTATTATCACTCAAAAGGACTATAAGGAACCCAATTAATGCATTTAAAGGCTTAACATATGTACTTGAGGGGATTTTTTTTTCGAAAGCGTTACTGTTCTTTGTCATTTGGTGATTGTCACTGGTGATATTTTAACATGTTTCTCTGCCTCTTCCTGAACTGTATTTTATCTATCGTTAGCAATCATTGTTATTTTTACGTATTAATTTAATTGCCAAACTCAACTGTAAAGTTCTGAGGGTTTCCCTGTTTGTTAGTGCTTCTCATCCTGCTCACAGTTGTCTGTATGCATGTGGTTGTGTTGTTTTTTGATAAGCTGGTTTGATGGGTTACTTTAGAAGTTGATTTCATCAAATATCATTCCTGTTTATTTATTTTCACAAAGATGATCTGTCCTTCTTAGTAATTTCTAAGGAGTGTTTTAGCTGGTTATGAATCAGACTGAAATTTATACTGTGTGAGCATGCACATGTAAA